GTCTGTTTATCAAGTGTGCCCATATCCCTGCCCTAATGCAGCATAACAGAGATCTATGTCGCTGTTGGATTCCTGCCGTGGGACTGACCTCTCCTGTCAGGTCACCTGAGACCTCGGTTTCCTCAACGCCTAAGCCTGGGAACAAGCTGGTACTTACTGTATAGGGTGACTGGCATGCTGAGAGATAAAGGAAAGAGGAGAAGTGCTGGACACACAGAGACTAAAACAAAAGGAGCAGCCACAGCAGTGCCTCCAGAATAGATGAGAAAGTAAGAATTTTAGGGGAGAGGCGGAAAAATAATTTCTTTGTTATGGATGGGTGTTAACCAATTACCTTGCAGGACTGAGGCACAATTATGGAGAGATAATAGATAATGATCAGTACAAAACGACTGTGTTAAATCATCTTTAATTTAACTATGCATACCCAATGAACATACCAAATGACATCAGTCGCCCTTGGGATTAGCACACACCCATCCTGAAACTTTTTGCTATTAAAACTTCAACTAAATAAAGCACCAAAGCAGTGGAGAAAAATAAAGAAATAAAGTAAAAACAGCACAGCGCTTTCTCCTCACAGATCCCCACAGCAACATCCTGGGATGGTGCGAGGAGATTGCATATGCATGCTAAAAAGTGTACAGATTCTACAGAAGTGAAATATTGTTTTGGGGGTCAGAGAAATAATGGAGCCCTTATTGCACAATTATTCTGCTATTCCCTGCCAGTCAGGAAGAATAATGGGAGAGGCAATTTCAGTTTACTGGGAGGAATCACAACCCCGACATCTATGAAAGAGACATTTATCAGCCGGATGACTTCTAGCACATACGTATATTACATGAAAAATCTCTCAGCCATTGCCCGTCATCTCATTTTCCTGTCTTGTCTTTGGCTCTCACTTCACTTCTCTTTCACAAAGAGCTTTTTTTGCCACATCCTACAAGGCAAGACACCCCTCTGTAGGCACATATTTCCATACTGGATGCCAATTTGTCAAAGTTTAGCAAGGGATAACTGAATTATATCACAAAATGTTTTGGGGTTGGCAAAACTTCACCGTCCGCTTCAGTGTAGCACTCTGCTACTGGCTTAGATCATGCTAAAAATGAATGGGGACACTGACATAACCCAATCCAGTGAGGCCTGCTGCCTCGCTTCTCCGTCCACTTGGCACTGGAAAACATGCCTCATCTGAACACACCCAACTTAACACCATATGTTACGCAGTGAGGCCTTGTAACATACCAGAAATCAATGACAACACAGAAACATGTAGGCTAGTTATGTATCATATCCACTTAATGTCTCAATTTGTTATAATTATGTGACAACAGGAAACCCTCTGTGTATATGTGTGTGTGATGTTTCCATCAAGCCCATGATGAATGTCTCTGAATTTAGAAGGCATTCCCTAGCTGTGGGGTGTAAGGAAAAACCAAAACAAATCTGCAGAGCCGAATGAGTGGACTACACAAAGGAGCATTGCAGCAGAGGAGAAGTTTTCCGCTGCAGTATCAAGTTCTATGTATTCCCTCAGAGCTTAATAAAAGTAACTTGGGGCCTGATAACTTGTCATCGATTCAACCATGTAAAAGGAACACTGACATAAGCTTGTCTCATGACTTCAAGGAAAACTCTGCAGTGAGACAGAATTTACATTGTGCTATGATATTGGACGGCAATGTCATTATCTATGATTGCAGCAAACTGTCTCCGTAAGCTGCCTCTGAACATCAAGACTAAAATTTGTGATGTCTGGTGAAACTTTCTGAGATTGATTCAATGACAGTTAATTAACAGTAACGTAATGGGCTGGGTTTAAAAGCATGTTTTTACCCAAATTACTTTTACTGGAATTCGGAGCTTACAGCTGTAAATAAGCAAATGTCCCCCATCCCAGGTTCAGTCGTTCTAGTTGTTTCCTTAGTACCTGTCTCTCCAAAAAGCTTTAGGATATGTCTCTCCACGAGACAACATTACTATAGGGTGCTAATTTTAGAGAGACGTCCAAACAAAACAGAGCTGTACAGGATCATGAAAATAATGTGAATTACATTTTTTGTTTGGATGTTTTCTTATTCAAGTGACAAAGATTGCAGAAGTGTAGCAGGACAGAAGGATAGATAGTTAGAAGCACAAAATGTGAGTAAATTGGAGTTTTGCACATACGTTATGCAAACATTTACCATGTAAATTCATTATAAGATCAATGAAGGAAGCCTACTGTTCTTGCATGCATCATTTCAAAATAATTCAGCGACAAACACACAAATAACAGAACAATCCAGGGATTGTTGCTCCATCTCAAGCTTTAGCCGAGAGCCAGTGGATTACGCGCCAATTGCGAATGTTCTGAACCCGACAACACAGGAAACAGTTACTTCATGTGAAAAAACTCAACTCCTTGCGTAAGCATTAAACTGGAAACACTAAGACACACACACAAAGGACATCTATAAATACACATTCATCAGTCTGCATAAGCACAAGCATCAGTGTGGCCTTGGGGACACAATGACGGCTTTGGTCAAGCAGTCACCCAAATGCTGCAGGACCAGCAGTCAAACCAGCTTGGGCGGGCAGCCAAAATTAAAATTACATTGCTTAATTAGAGCTGGGGGTACAACTCTCTCAGCTGGGCAAGCCAATAGGCCTTATGTTGACAGAGTAAGCTAGGCGTGAACTTTATGAACCCCTGGATCAGCATAAGCTGCTCTAAAACTTGCTTAATGATAATGAAGCCAGGGCACATTATACCCTTGTCTAATTGCAGGGAGTATATCATATGCAAATACTATGCAAATGAACACAGTTATGTGAACCAGAACAATCTTATCGAGAGCTCACTCAGAGTTTAGACATGCCATGGCCCAGTGAAGAAGACTTCACCTTTGTTTGACATATCGTCATCCTTTTATCAGTGCAACAATAAAGGTGCCACTACACAAAACTTGACTCACCTGCTGCCTTATCACCTCTGTCTTTTGCACATCAGCAAATGTTCCTCATATCCAAGTGAAGCAAAGTCAGAACCAAGCAACATGTTTCACCATCATCCCTTACTGTGTTCCTGACACAAGTAGCCACTGTAATCCCACTGCAACCATTAAGTTGCACCTGTTCTCGCAACATTAAAGATGGATGAGTGTAGGCATTAATAAGTCATGTACAACAACCAACACCAGCGACATTACAGCGACATATAATGACTCCAGCGGGGCCCACATACAGTGTGAATTGAGTGTTTGTATCAAGCTACCCACAGGCTGCTTCTGGCAAAAGCTGGAAGAGGTAAAAAGTAAAAATGTTTACCAGCGTCTGAGTTCAAGGCTCTGTCCTTGTCTGTCTCCTCTCTTCCACGAATGCAATGAGAGCATGGAAAAGAAGAAAGAGAGAATAAGAGAAAGAGAAGGGGGGGAGGGGGTAGGAGATAAGGTTTTCCGATTGGTTTTGTTCTCCCTCTCACTGTCTGTCACTCGCTCATCTTCACGATGTAGCTCTTCTCCTGTCAGCCTTTGTGTGTCAGCCTGTCATAGCCAATTCTGCTCAGCAGCATCGTGTTGTCCTTTGCTTTCCTCTCTGCTCATCCCTCCCATGCCTCTTTTAAAAAGGGGAAGGGAAGCTACAGACAACCCTGTCCCAGTTAACTTTCTCCTTGTGACAGTGGACTATTTTGCCATTGGCTATTCAGCTTGCAACTCCCTATGACCTTCTACCTAATTGGCAGACCACCACAGACAGACATTGGCAGGGACACAACCGAGAGATTATATGGTGATAATAATTTTTCAAATCTGCCTTTTTCCCCTCTATCACATCCTGAGTGCTTCATTCACTTTTAATAAGATCACAAATCGATTACAAAAAGTAGGGGGGAAAAAATCAATAACTATCAATAAGTCTATTCATTCATTCTATCATTTTGGCTTTGACATCATAAAAGAATGAGTACACTATCAAACAGATCACATAATGTTGGCTTAAAATGTCCTTATTTTGCCTAACCAACAGTTAAAATACTGTACAAATGAAAACAAGGGGAAAAAAACTAACAATTTCCTCATTAATCTATATGTTAACATTAGTGCATCAAACATTAAAGCCACTTACAATGAAGAAAAAATAGGGAGTGCTGCACTGGTTGTTCAGGCTGCTGGAATCTGCACTTTGCATTGGCACTTTGCACTTTGATGCTGATTATTTTTCCTATTAATATTCATTTATTTTTATTTTTAAGGTTCCTAGAATTAGGGTTGGGTAACGTTTGCGTTTTTTCTGATACCAGTGCCGAACCGATACCTCAAAATATGAGTTTTTTTATGGAGGTTGAAAAGTGGCACAAATGGGCCACCTTCCAGAAGTGTGTGAGTATTTTGTATAACAGTTTTAAATTATAATAAAAACAATGTTTTTATTTATTTATTGCTGAGGCAAATTAGAAATACCTAGAAATAAATAGGTATATGAACTATATTAACAGTTTTAAAATATAATAAAAAACACTTAACAAATTAACATTACAGTAATACTAACTCTATTGAATGTCTGGTCTCCCCCCTTCACACTTAAGCTGTCCTATCAATTAAAGGCGAACAAAACACCAAAACACCAAAAAAAAAAAAGCACCATAATGTGCATTTTGTTTTCGGTCCAGTAGGTTTCGGTTGTATAGGTACCGGTTCCATATAAACACCAACTTTTGGTACCCAACCCTACCTAGAATCTGCCCATTATGTCATGTTATGTGTTGTTGTCCATCATTGTTTTGTGTGTTGTATGTTTTGTGTATTTTCCTGGCTGCAAACCTATTTCCCTGAAAGGGACAATAAAGATACTTTGACTTTGACTTTGACTTGGTTAAGGCACTGTGTGGTTGACTGTAAAAAATCAGATGCTCGTCAGGGATAGAGCAAATAGTTACATAATGATAGACAAGACTGGCCCACCCACTCGGTGTAAAAGTCCAGGTACAGGCAGACACTCTGACTGTATTTAAAAATCCTTTGAGTGCCTCAGATGCATTTTTGGACTGCCTGCCTATACCATGGACTTTTACAGTGAGTGAGCTGGCCAGTCGTTGTTTCTTATCTTTACTAAAGCCACTTAATTTCTTTGCATGATAATAATTTTGAACTACTATCTTTTCATAGCGCCTGTGTTAGACTTCTGTTTTGAACAATATCTATGTAGCACCTTGAAACATAAATTTGTTGTTTGTGTATGCAGCTGAAATGTTCTGCATGTGTGCCAGCTGTTAAGAAATAATCTTTGGCAATGAAAGCTGAGCATGGACAACGTGTGCGAACAAAAATAGAGGGATACAGTGTAATTCAGGGAAGATATTCAGGGGGGAAATGTGCCCTTAGTTTAGACTTCTTGGCTGATATCACAGATGTCAGTCCCATAACTCAAGGAATTGAGACATGACCCTTCACCCACTCGCAGAAATACAGACACGAAAACACACCCAGGAACACTGAGTCACAGACACAACGAAGAGCAAGTCCCACTTGTTGCTCTTAATGTCTGTTACTGCGTGTCATGAAAGGCATTTAGACATGTTGTAATGGGAAATGCATGAGTATTAATGATAAAATGAATGACAGAGGAACTCCTTCAGTTTCAGAGTCCTGATATTGTGTATGTTGGCTCGTTGTCACATTTTTATGACTTACTGGGAAATTTCACAGTACGTGACTATAATTACTGTTATCAGTAGCACGTGTGCTTTCCTTACAGTGATTAATAAACATGTCTGCAGGGGAAAAGTTCTATCCCCTGCAAGATGAAACCTGTGAATTAAGAAAGTTGGTGAAAAGTGAGGCCATGACACATTGAACAAATGACAGGTCTTTGGCATGGATCTCTTTAAGTTGTTGTTTTAATTTCTTAGCACTGCTAGACTGGGTATTTCCGGCCATTTTCTCGGTTTTGTCATACACCTATCTATACTGAGGTGTCAAAGACTTTCCACCTGTATTTCATTATTGTCTTTTAGTACATACAGTGAAAAAAAAAAATCAAACACTTTGTTTCTGCGCCCATTTTTCACAGGGTTAAGATCTAAGACTTTTGTATACTCAATAGAAATACTTATCTTAAATTTTGGTTGCAAAATTGTGAAAATCCATGTTAGTGAGCACTTTTCCTTTTCAAAGATAATCCATCCACCTGACAAAAGTGGGCCAACAACCTGATCAACTCTCTGAAGATGTGTTGCACTGCACGATTCAAATGATGGTTACACCAGATACTGACTCTGACTGAAAAATGTATTTCGATGTTTTTCCCTTGGGATGTGGCGCACAACAGGGAGGCACTTTGTCACCATCGTTTGCATTTAGCATCGAACCACTGCCCTAGTTAATAAGAATAAATACCCTCATACAGGGAATCACTGATAACGGAAATCACCAGCACAAGCTGGTACTTTCTGCAGATGATATCTTATTATTTTTAGAAAACCCCATTACCCCTGTCCCCACCCTTCTACATAACCTTAAGGAGTATGATATAGTGTCAGGGTACAAGGTAAATACGAATAAATCTGAAGCCATGATGACAGCTGGGGAATGGCCTTCCCAAATAGATGATATGGTCTCTTTCAGAAGATCCAAGCAGGGATTTAGATATCTTGGTGTAACCTTGACAGCTAAAACTACACAACTATTTTCCTCACATTATGATAAATTAAAGTTCTCTTGCCCCTTGTCATTTATTGGCAGGATAGAGTCAGTGAGAATTAATATTTTACCAAGGTTACTTTTCTATTTCAGTCTCTCCCTGTTATACCACAATCTACGCTTGAACTGTTAGAAAAACAAATATCTAAATTTATCTGGCAAAGGCAACCAAGAGTTCGGCTGAAAATACTGATGTCAACAAAAGGAAATGAAGGTCTGGGGTTGCCCAACCTGAACAACAGGGCAGCCCAGCTTCGAGCAGTGGTGTCCTGGGATGTGAAGAACTTAAATACCGGGTGGGTTTCTATTGAACTAACTCCTTACCTGGAACATCACTATCTATACTTCCATTTCTTAGCCAAAAATTGCAAAAAAATTAATAATATATGGATCAAACACACGTTGAAGGTCTGGAATTCAGCCCAAAGCAACTAAAGGGAGCTATAGCTCTTTATGTAGTTCCAATCTCATCACTGCATAGTGAAGTATGTCCTTTATTGTTTCGTCACTCCTGCCAAAAAAAGCAACTTTTGTACCAAAATAAAAAGCAACCAGTTGTTCTTGTTTGGAAATACCTGCTTGTTCAGCTAGAAGTTAGAAGCAAGTTGATCCCTTCCACAAGGAAAACTGTGAGCTCCTAACAGTCTAGTTTAATGTTGTGCTACTTCTTAATGTCAGTATGATTAACTGTGCCAATCTTGTTTAGTCCATTTCTAAGTGATGGCACTCCTGTGTTTCTCTTATCAGGCCTAAACAGACACATTCAATATGTTTGAAAAGTCTGTCTAAATGTGAGTCAAAGGATATGAGAACACAGTGGTCGTTCCTTGAAGTGGAACTCACTGTCACATTACAATGCGCTCTTCTCTCTCTGCAAGTAGAAAGTCTCAACATCCTTCTAATGTTGAGACCAGACAGTGTTAGGCCTTTTATGTGTTTTCTTCTACAAGATAAGGTATCTAGTAAGTCTTTTTGAATGTGGCCAGATATCTGATACTCCACAAAATGTCATGTAGTGTCTATAGGAAGCGGGCTTTAAAAATAGCAAACTTTGAGCAGTCTACAGGCGAGAGGAAGCCCCAGCAGCGGGGGCTCTGTAGTGTCGTGTTCAAGAGGCTTTGACCCTTCTCCCAGACGGAGCACCTTCAAACACACAAGGCCAAACTGAACAACAGGAAACAAGCAACAATGAGCCTCCACACCCCCTCCAAGTGGGACACACAGGGCTCCCCTTGAGTTTTATAATGCAGCGCGTTCAATGAAAGAGAAAATAATAAATTTGATCTTGAGCGTAACGCAACAAATAAGATTAGGTAAAAACTCCTCTAATCCCATTACACAGTTCTAAGTCTATTATAAATGAACCATTCATAAAAAGCCAGGTGACGTTTTTATTACTGGAGCACAGACACAGACATTGCATGGCACATTTTGGGCTTCTGACAAAGCTAAGGAAGCCTTTTGACTCTAGTTTTGGGCAGGTTAGATTGTTCCAGTTACAGTGAGACGGCGGCCTATAGTCAACATCAGGGCAACAGAGGGAGTTTGTTTAGTCATAACAGCAGATCCACAGTGCCCCAGGCAGGCAGCGTCCTGTTAAGTCTGCTACCTTCTGCCAATTAGTCACCATATGTTTCCCTGCCCTCATGCCACACAGGCAGAACTGATGACGGCTTCACCAGTGACCCTCTCAATTCGGTTAATCGATTTATGCTGGGGAGGTTAATCCAGTTACACTCCATCCCTTCCCCTCCCCTCTTGTTTATGTTTGGAGTACCTGTTCAGATAGGTCCTGTCCGTATCAGCGGCTGAAACTAAAGGCACACATGGTGAAAACGTGAATACAAACACACGCTAGGAGCTACACACAGTGATGACGTTACTACCACTGCTAGAACTAACACGACTAATGCAGCTGTGACCTGGGGATGCTCGTAACTATGGATATGGCAGCAAAGGAGGCTGACCGGTCACTACTGTCATGACGGCTTTTAAACACTCTACAAACAGATTTCACCAGTGCCTCCTCGTGTAAGTGTCACACAACAATCACAGGACCTAAGCAGCTGATACAGACCAAGCGGCTTAAATCCTAGTTGTTCATTTCGGCTACCCGAGGCCAGCTAACGGTCATGCTAATCAAAGCTAGCGGGAGGTGACGGCTCGGGAAAGTCAAAAAGGAGGGGACGTTAATGAAGGGACAAGAGACAGGGTTGGGGGGGCCATGACGACGTCGGCGTGACACAGACAAACTCACCCACTGGACCCTCTTTGTGTTTGGACGAGCGTCTTCCATTCACACCTTTCTCAAATCTGCTACTCCCACCACTCTTCTTGTTCGACGCCATCTTCGCCCACTCTGTTTACGCACCGCCTCTCCTCCTCTCACATCTCCGTTACATACCTACCTGCGGGCGACAGGCCCCGCCCACACCCAAAATGGAAGCCAATGAATGACTGCGCTGCGATCCAGTAGCCAATCACGACGCTAGAAAATATATAACTGCCCGCCCCCGTCCTTCCGCCCGCCCCGTCAGTGCAGATTATACTGAATGGGCATTATGTTTGTGGATGAATTACACAAGACGTTGCTGGATTTATTTATTTCTTCACACAACTTTACTCTTTAAGCACCCACAGAAATAGCTGAAAGCAAATACACTGTCAAACAACATTAAATCTTAAGTAAAATGCAAGAAATTAATTATAGATTTTTTAGTTAAAAACATTAAATAAACTGACAGCAAAACAATCTCACCACCAGCCCAACTCAGAAGCTGTTCTGGAGCTTTCACACAATCTTCCTCAGCAGATAGAGCTGCTTGGTTGTTATGAAACTTAGGTGCTGACTTTTTTTAAGCATAGGTGATATTTGAACATGTGCACTTACTCCCCCTTAATAAAAACATAAAAGAAGCTGAAGACTTTTAGTGGACAAAATTAAGAAATGGCACCAACTGGGGCATTAAATTCACCAGAATGCAGGAAATTAAAGCTCATTTCCCACTGCACAAAACACCTGCTAACATCTGGCTTTTGTATGTAATGGGAAAGGAGGAAAGGTTACAACTGGGATTCACACCCGCGTCAAATGACTCTGCAGTACTCACAGGTATTTATCAGCCCTGGCTTACCAGAGTGATACAATGACCTGCCACACATGACACTGTCCGTTTCCACCCTAGCAGTGCTCCAACATCTGTCCAAATTAGTCTGCACCGAGTTTGAGATAGAGACTAACTAAGTAAGACATAAAAATAAGTAACCACTGTAACATTTTCACTGGCTTCCATGCTGCTTTCTATTGTGTACCAACCATTTCCGGCCTGTCTGTGATGTTGAACATGATACACACTCGTCTGCTGCAGAGCTGAGTGTAGAGTGTATCAGAGTGTATCGCCTATTTTTGTGGGTTTTCAAATATTTAAATAGGCGACTTTTAGTGTAAAAGGGGTTTAAGTGTTTGATGCCCAATATTTTCTGGTTGAGCACCTTAAGCCCCTATTTCAGTTGCGTCCCTTCCAATGTTGAAATACAACCTATGCCTTTGACTTCAAGGACTTCTCATCCGTGTTGGCTTGAATTTGAGTCTAATGCCATGACTAGGGGCGACTCTATTTGCACAGGAAGATCATGTGTTACCTTAGCAAGCTCAGAACTGGTAGTGAGTGCAGGGCTACAGCTACTGTTTGAGGACACAGGAGACATGTCCTCTATCGTTTCTCTGTTTTGTTTTGCTCTGTTGAGGAATTTGGGATCATGAAGGGTAGTTTCTAATTAATCATTTTAGGTTATACTCATAAAAAGACAGACATGATTATTTTCTATAGACTCTTTAAAATGGTACAATTTTGAGTAGACAACACACTTAAAATAAGGCTGAATGTCTCTTAATATTTCTATAATCCTGGCTATGGCCCTGACTGCGGGGACCCAGTGTTGAGATTGCTCCGTCAACTGCTGTTTCCAAGGTCAAAAAACAACGCTCAGTCTGAAATTAAACAAGCTGTTTGATCAATATGTTATCAGATGCTGAAACTGTACCTGCAGGCTATGTACAAAACTGCGCAGTGAAGAATGAACCTGCTATTCAGATATCACACAGATAGACGTCAGCTCTCAAAATACACTCAAAACACTCTCTCTTTCTCCTTCCCCTTTCTCATTCTCTCCAATTTTCTTCAGGGTTTCTCCAGCTGGATTTGCTCCTCTTCCTCCTTAACGTTGCCCACATCCTGGTACGGGCCATGTGCCTGGGACCGCTCGATCTGATCATATGTGGACCAACACTCGTCCAGATTCAGCCCCTGGTGTGTGAGATAAGGGAGACAGAAATTGAGTACACACGCAAAAATCAATTAAACATACTCATGTGAAATCGATTAGTGCAAGATAAGACGTTCATTCATATCTTTGTTCCTGCGTTCAGCAATGTGACTTGCACAAGTGTTTACCACATGCCATGACGTGTGTCTGACTCTGAGAAGATCAGACTTATTTACCTGGTATATGTTTTCCTCTTCCTTCTTCACTTTCTTCTTCTCCAGTTGGTTCAGTCTCTTTGACTGTGAGGGGAAAGCAGAAGTTATTTGAGTTGTGAAATGACACAACTTCCCACGGAAGAAATGCAAAAAAAGGAGAAACTTATAGCTGCATGTGAACAATCAGAGCAGCACTGTCTCACAGAAAGCAATAATTTCTGTTGGGTCAACATGAACGAGAGCTACATTTTGGAACTTAACCACTGCTTCAGCATCAATGCAGCGAGTCAGGGGTAGCTATCTGACAAGTCAATGCATGGTAATGTACACACGGTTATAACACAGTGACCTCCTGACCTTGAAGAGAAGGGTGCAAGACGGCACAAGCACACAGAGGAGCAGTAAGACTCCCTCAGCCATCAGGATCTTGTTTTTGGTGCTCTCTTCTATGTTTATTGTCTTCTCCAGGTACTCTGGGCAAATACACAAAGTTCAAAGGTGAAACGAATGACACATACATGTTTTCAATGGTAGGCTGTAACTAAGTACATTTACTCAAGTGCTGTACTTTAGTCCAAACTGGAGTTAGACTATCAGTGTTCTACATAAGTATTTTCTTTTTGTGCCACTGTCTAATTGTACTCCACTACAAAACATTACTATACACACTATACAAAACAGTAGTATAATGTAACAAAACACTCAAGTACTGTACTTAAGGACAAGTTAGGGGTACTTGTACTTCACTTAATGATTTTCATTTTATGCTACTTTACACTTTCACCACTGGGAACTTTAGTTACTAGTTACTTAGTTTATTTTTTTATTTTCTTTCAATAATCTAAATTTGCAAATTGGTTATAACATATTGTTATTGGTTGGGCCATCCAGCAGTATATAGAGTAAATTAAATTAGGTCCACCTTTACCAGCTTCAGCATTAAAGTAATGAATACATTAATGTTTCAATAATTATAATTAAATAATATATATTATTCTGAAATGGGCCATTCTGCATGATTAGCACTTTTACTTTTGGTATTTAAAGTATATTTTGATGCTAATACTTTTCTACTTTTACTTAAGATTTTGAGTGCAGGACTTTCACTCGCAACAGATATCTACACTGTCGCACTGTTGTAAAGCACACAAAACCCCTGAAGGGTTTATAAAATATGTTTTCTTATGTATTAAACTGTTTATACAAGCAACACTGAAGCGTAGTTTGTTTAAGTAATTTTTCATGACAACATTACATGGTTCCAGTGTCACAGATGTCAGGGTTTGCTGCTTTTCCTTTTAATTATTTCAATAATTTAATTTTTTCACAGATCAAACAATCATTTAATTTATCAATGGACAAAATAATCACAAATCAGCCCATAATGAAAATAATAATTAGCTGCAGTTTGATACAAAGTAGTCAAAACATGAGCTCCACTCCACTTGGAATCCATTCATGGGATAGATAAAAGCCATATTCTAAACCCTCACTTTCTAGTAAGTCATATTTATTTATTTATTTATTTTTTTACATCTTGTAGCCAATCACAAAAGGATGGGCCCTGATTAGGCCTTCATCTTCTGCAACTGCCTGTTCCTTTGAAGGTTCTGTGCATATTTAATTATCTGTATATATGAGTACTTTTATTTTATAATGCTGTATAGCCGTCTATACGTTGTTTAAAAACCAAAAAGCTCCACCTCAACCAGCAGCTACAGTAAAACCCTGCTTCTAGATGGATGCATGAGTCGTAATAATTTCATGACATCATAACAGTCACAGCTTTCTGCATTAGTACTTCTACTTTTAATAATTTGAGTACATTTTCCAGATTATACCTATATATTTTTCTTAAATAGCATTTTCAATAAAAGGCTTTTTGTAACACAACGATCTTATTTTATTTAATTCTATTTCTATGTAATATTTTAAGTAATGGATTGTATTTTCTGTCTGTCTTTTTTTATATGACAGCCATAATTTAATGTGTGTTTCGTAATTTCTCATTTTAGTGCATGTTTTTTCTTTTTTTTCTCTCTGAAAACTTGAGGTGTTCGCCTTCAAACTGGCCTCTCACTGTGATGCATTGCTGTCACCCACCTGCATTCACTTATCAGTCAGGATTGGGTGACATCCCCTACCAAGTTAATAAAATGTTTGCTTGACCCCTGTCCACCTTTTTGGACCCTGATGAAGACCTTAGGGTCGAAACCAGTCGGTGTTTTAATGTAAGCAGCCATGTTTTTGAGTAAAGGCTTTTTAAATTAATTCAAGTGCATTTGTTCCTGCTCCATGCATGAGTGCCTGGAGTTCATTTTTTCTACTTAAAGGGCTTTTACTTGTAACTGAGTATTTTTAAACTGTGGTATTAATACTTTAAATGATCTGAATACTTTCTCCACTAGGCTACTGTGTGTTTTATTAGCAGGTAAGACATCAGGCTAACTAAACATTTATGTAACAGACTTATTTGGAGACACAACTGCACTATTTAGTATGAAGAACCCAGTCTAATCTATATAAAATAGATGAATAAAGAATTGATAGGTAAGGGTAATGGTGTTCTCATAAGCTAATGCACATAATCCCCCAGTGGTTGTTTTACATTTCCTCATCTGTCATCTGTGTTCAATGAGATTATGATGCAAAATAGCATTTCAGTGTGCAGATGCCTGTATACATTAGCCTGGCTGCAACTTGATCTAATCTCAGTGCTATTTAAAGTAAATGACCGGGCAGCAGACTGTAATGAGATGTAAAGATTAACCAAGCTGCAGTATTGAACGATGCTGCCACTCACACAGCTCCTGGATGGACTAATGTTAACAGGATTTATGGCTTATGAGGTGTTAGCACTGTTCAGATCTGCTTGACTCCATCTCACTCCATCACACACACACGAATACTCACTGAAGACCTGCAGGTAGGTGCCATGGGATAAGATATCACCCTTCCCCAGAACACACTGGTACAGCCCAGAGTCTTTCAGCTGGACTCGCTCAAAGGTTATGGAGCCACATTTACTGGGACCGAGTCTCTTGTCGATAGTCACATGGTCTGAATCAGTCACATTTTTGACAGCTTTGGCAGTGCGTTTGATCCAAGTGTGTCCCAATTCAGCCGTTGAAGTAAAACAGCACTTTAGCACAACTCGGTGATGAACCTCCACCCTCACGTATGGATTGTCCGGCTCTAAAATCACCTTACTCTGAGCAGAACCCACTGTGGAGGAAGCAGCTGTTATTTAATGTTTTGTGCATTTGTTTTAAACTTGTTCATCATTTGATTTTAACCCAACATTTGCCAGATTATCTAATTATGATTGCATATATTGTAATAGCATAACCTGCATTTACAATGGACATATAAGGTCTTAAAGTTAACTTACAAAACTAATAAAAATGAGCTGTAGATGTGTAGCATAATTAACCAAACCTAACAGAGGAAAAACACAGCATGATAGCACAGCCATCTGCTGTGAGAGGAGATATGGCTCACTGAAGCAGAACTTAAAGGAACTAAATGTGAAAAAATACGTTATATAGAGTAAAAACATATACTTATACTAGCTTTAATGTACAGACATGCTTATTTTCTATCAAACCCAGAGGAGTATTGCATCTACAAAAATATAAACTATTGTTTACACACTTAATGAGTATTTCAGTCAATATGCTATCTTAAAATAAAATGATGTGACTCACCGACAAAGCTGAAGAGGAGAAAGTTTGTAAGTGTGCCCATTGCGCTCACAAATATTTGATCCAGAGATCAAAAAGCGTACTGAAATATCATAAAGGAAAACTACTTGTACAACACCGATCCCAGTCTTCACTGTTATGGTACTAAGACACCGGTGTTTTTTTTTAGTCAGGATTTACACTTGAATGATTTTGGACTGTCCCACATTTGCATTAAAGTTTTATCTGCATGCATTTAGAAAACAGATCATGATGGTTCCTCATCGGTGCTTTGGTGTGGCTTGAGGTGCTATATAGCATCACAGCCACACAAAGAACTTTTGAGGCCCCTTCATGATTCTTTAGAGGTTCCCTACTGTTCCTTTCCCCAGTAAACTAAACTTAACTAAGCTGAAGAACAAGCAGAGGAGCTTTGAAGTCTGGCTCTTCAGCTTATTTTAGCTAGCACTACACTAAAAAGCCTACAAACAGTGTATTTCCAGACGATAACAAATTAAAGGAGTGTGCACGGAAATTTTCCAGGTTTGAAAAGGTAGCATGTTGTGTTTGCATTTAGTATAGCATTCTGAATCTCTAAATCCAACATTTTGTAAGAAATGATTAATAATCATTTATATCTTAAGTAAAAGTGTCATTTAGAAACATACTGACTTATCCATGGTTATCTGGCATCATTCAGGGGTCCCCACACTAAGAAATTTAAAAACAATACAGTACTATATGGTCTCTAATGATTCTATATAGCACTGTGTGACAAAGGTGATGTATAGCACCTTTGAAAGCTGGGTGTCACATACAGATTGACCTGTGATTATGAGCCACAGAATTGCGTTTGGGTACTGTTTAGCACTATTTTAAAGCAATATGATGCTAATGGGTCCGTATAGCACAGTTTGACAAAGGTGCCATAGAGCACATTCTACTAACAGGTTCTTGTGACTGTCACTGTACTGTTTAGCTCCATTTGTAAGAGTGCATATCCTCCTGAGACCTTAACTTTTGTTTGGTATGCATTTTTAATTCCTCCTAGCTATTTGGGATCAGTAGGACTATATAAGTATATATAAAAAAAACTATGTTAACAATAATTAAGTCCCAATGTCCTCAAAGGAGACAACAATAAAATCCCAAAGTCCTAAAACAAGAACTTCAGTGTTACTGTTGCTAAAATTGGTCACATTTCTCGCCAAATCAAACTAATAACATTATCAATCATAAATAAACAAGTTCCAACCATAAATTGTGATCAGGTTCTGGATCTTGTCGACTTTTGTATCAGGATCGGCTGCAGACTGACTTGGAAGAGATGCCTGCCGTCTTGTTTTTACATGGATTAGTGTATTGTGCTCTTATTATCACTAGATGGCACAAAAAGTGTCCACGAACGAGGACAACAGGTCTAAGTTAAGTAGAATGAAGTATAAGGTCAAGTAATCCCAAAATGTGATGTCCTCATGACGACACAGGGTCTGAGGAGGATGTATTAAAATCTTGGGATATGGTTTATGAAATCACATACGAAGGATCCTCTCTAAACCCTGTGTTTATAAAGAGTCAAACCAAACTAACCATGAACCCAGAACCATTAGCTCACAAGTTATTCTAACACAGGTACGGACTCATGACTATATAAAAGGACAAAACAGGAATTTATTTCCCCAATTTATTTAAAAAATGAAGAATTAAAAAACAGAACGTACCACAATTTTCCTTAAGTATACATCATTAAAGAGCCTCTTACACGATAAAAATCAAAACCCAAATACACAATATAGTTCTTGCATATTCATTGTTTATAGATAGACAAGATGGCAGATGCCTGCATGACATGGAGCAATGTCTTTTCTACACAGGGCACTGGCTGGCTGAGTCGGCGGAGGGCTCGCATCCTATTGCTGTAATGGAGGTGGACACAAAAGCAGGATCCTGGGATCATCTCTCAATTGTTATCAGTCTTTTCGTCGTCGTCGTCGTCTTCCACTGTCAGAGGTCACAGTCCTCCACGAAAGAGCGCAGACGAAACGGTGATTGTGTTTGTAGACTGAAGAGCCCTTGATGAAGATCGTCGGAACAAGGCACCACTCTATAAATACATGTTCTATACATCTAGGTATTTGTATATAGAATGCATGAGGAAAAGCGTCAGGAGGAGAGACAGCGAGTGAAGCTGGTGTTTACTGGGTTTCACCTGCTGACCACTGCAGCTGGACAGTTAAAAATCCCCGGTTGAGATGATCTGTTTAAATGGATCCCATTGGTAAGCTGGATAGCCACAGTACAGAGCGGGTTAACGCTTTATCGTGCACACCAACAACAAAAAAAACAAAACAGGAAATTGTGGTTACAACATTTGCAATGCTTGTTAAACTCATTCATGCATAGACAAGTTACAGACAAGTCCTGTCTCTCTCACCGTTACAGCCAAATGCATAGCACATAATTACAAAAACTTGTTTGGGAAAAAAAAAACAACAGTAACAAAACCTCCCCGACCCGTTTAGGTAACATATGATAAAACTGTGCGGTAGGAAAAGGTGATCATGCCATCACAAGTGAGCGTCAAGAGCTGTACGTAGCTAACAGGAGGGCAAATTTACGTTTTCATCACAATTTGTTTTTGTCCTTCAAGCTAACACCTATTTACAGTTTCTAAGAGGAAGACGTGGGGAGAGATGGCAGTGATGTTCAAACACAAACTCATATAATTTAGCATCGTGTGAATGTAATCGCACTGAGTTTTGCATAAGTTCACGCTGAGGTTCAGTTGGGTCAAACAGGGGCGCTTGTAGCTGTGGCAACAACAGTGAGAATGTGTGTCAGGAAGTGATCGTGATCACAGTGCTGACGACTGAGACTGCTGTTTTCCTTCCTCCAAACCCTTAAACGTTTCCTTTGTGTCCTCATCTGGCTTCACCGTCTTGTTGGGTGTTTCTTTGCTGCTGGAGCTGGTCCCACGTGTTCAATAACTCTATCCTGTCACACCACGAGCTGCACTGAAGTGTACGCAAGGAACCACTGATCTACAGTTTCAGTTTGGCCATAAGGTGAAGGCAGTCTAATATTCCTCAGCTACTTGTTGCCAAATCCAAACTTAATGCCATCAGCATTAAGTGACACGCTACTACTGTACGCAGATGAAGCATGTCGATAAGAGAATTACAGCTCGTATGAGGATCTAACGGTGCTTTATGTCTTTGGTCCTGTGTGCACGGCCACAGTTATGCCACTACTCAGAAATTATATCATCAACATCATCATAATTACAATCAACTGCTGAATAAAATACAAACACAGAGCTCAGTTTTGATACAAATATTGCTATCAGGGAAAAAATAGAATCTTTTGCTAAGAACATGAGAATCTAACATCATATAATACAATTTATAACCCCGTCTTAAGTCCGTGTTTTGGATCAGGAGCTGTGAATCAAGAGGAAGGTGACACTGCGGAAATGATGCTGGCACTGAGTGACCTTTGTGAATACTTCTGTAGCACTGGGCTCTGAGTGTCTGTTGGTGTATGTATGTGTGTGTGTCTACATTTCTTAATACAGTAAGCACAAATCCTACTCTCATGTTCTCTACACATCTTCTCATGACCGTCTGGTTCAAGCCGGCTTCAAATAACCAAAGCAACCTCTAAACTCCGCCCCGTCCCTTTCTAACATCTCTCTCCTTCTCTCTCTACCTTGATCTACGTTACACATTCCAGGTTCTTGCGTTTCATCTTTTCTCGAACACGTTCTTTTTCTTTGGCCCAGTGCGGTAACAGTTTCACTCAGGTGAGGCAACTCGCTGACCAATCGGAACTCAGAGGAATAAATAAAAGTGGTAAATACAAAAAAAAAAAAAAAAAAGACTCCATTATTAACAGCATGATTACCTATAGTGCTACTATTTATAAATGTTTCTATGTGACCTAATGACAGTAAGAACCCTCAAAATAAGCACATCCTTAATTAAAAAACTTTGTAACACACATACACACACTTTCACGCATGCAATCTTTTCAATAATGAGTGCTGCCCACGTGAAGCCCAACTGTTCAAAAATGGCACTACATAGAGAGTAAATAAATTTCGCATAAACAGTGTGGGTTCAACTTGGTTTGATCAGAAAAAAGTGCATCTCCGTGGTGCTTTGGCATAGACTAGAAATAACACTATATATCAGCAGTAGTATTTCCATACATCTTCAAACGCTACATTGGCCCCTTGAGGCTTCCACCTGGTTAGAGCGAACCTGGCGGGCAAACATAGGATTTCTCCTTTACTGCACGTCTGCTATTGGCAATAATGTAAATCATTCTCTAGCGTGCATGTCTCCGGTGTGCGTATGTGTGTTACAGCAGATTGCAATCACTACATTTTGTTAGGCAGCATCTCTCTCACAGCAAAATATTGCTTCTTCCTTTTTTTTTTGGCACCTCTCTGCAAAAAACAACCTCCCACTCAAAAGTAGGATGTCCCGTTTTTTTTTGTTTGTTTTTTTTGTCTTTGTATACCTTTCTACCAAGCATGCACGCAAACAGACACACATACACATGCACACACCTCCCATGTTCGTCACTGAACCACTGCACTGTGCATAAAGCCCCCTAATGCAGCAAAGGGTCCAGGCATGACTTGTGAGGGTTTAGGAATTTCCAGGGAACCCTCTGAAAGTCACTCTCGCACTCCAAACCAGCACCAGTAGAAATCTACACAGGAAAAAAACAGACAAGGGATAGTTTGAATGAAAGATTAAAAAACATACAAAGCTTGATCATGTGCAAGGGCAAAAAATTCCACTGTGAAAATGTCTTTCTCCGCTGTTCTTGAAATCCTGTTTTTGTTCCTCTAACTTTTCAGTTTCATTGATTCACTGACTGATTTCATAGTTTGTCACTAAAATTTCTCTGATCAGTTTTCCCGACTTTATAGCTGTGAAAATGCAGATGAGATCAGATTAAAAATAAAAACAGTTGACTGAGTCACAGCATGTGATTTTCAGACATGTTTGCCCACCTCTCAGGCTAGGTACAAGACGCCCTATCTTACTTATGGAGGTTGTTTGGGCCAGGAAGACACCTGCCAAAAGTCTGTCCACTGTGCTTGCTTCTTGGCTAGAAAAATTATCTAACAAAGAAATCCAAGTTTTATTTTAATTTACAGATGCTACTCTCTAAGCAGATCCATTAAGTGACCATCAAGTCTCTACCAAGTAGTGCTGTCATGATGCTGGAATTTCTAATTTTGATTTAATACCTCAAAAAATATAGATATTCAATACTACAGGGAAAAACTGACACTGAGGGCATACAATTTAAAAGCATTATTAAAGGACAAATATAGTAAGGCTTGTAGCAGGACAACAGTGATTCTTCTTAGTAGCAGAGAATATCAGAAAGACTGTTGTAAACATTAACAGTAATTAAAACAATTATTTTTTTGCAGTGATGCACATGTTGAAAAGCCTCTGGGATTGCCATTTCAAATGCTATTAAGTGCAAGTAAAAAACAAAACTGTGACAACATCACTATCATATAAACTAAAAATGATTTTAAGCAGGCAGCATTACAGTTATCTGTAAATTACTATGGGTGTGTCATATTTTAGATCTAATATATTTTATCCATTATGTCTATTTCATCCTTTTTTATCTTATTGTTCAGTATCTTACTCTATTTCATTCTCTGTAGTTTTAATGGTTTAATCTAATAGCGTGTAAAGCAACTGTAATATCATTAAGCATTTTTATTATTTATCTATCTAACCAGTTTTATTTTTATTCATATTTTTTGCTGGATTGGTGCAGAAAGTCGCACACAGTCCCATTTTGTTGTTGGAAAACATCTTGTGTCTGAAGCTAAACCTAAGCCCCTGATGATTAACAATGATACTTAATCAGATTCTTCTGTTTAAATTATACTTGAGCATCACTTTAAATATTTTACAAATACTTTAAATACACACAATATACTTTAAATGGTTTGGGGTCTCACCTAGTGGCCAGCAGGTGGCGTGATGGTGTCTTACTGGAAGTGACCCCCCTCCAGTGAGAACTTGGAAAGGGCCTCCTGCAGCCTGTGGTGCTCCTCTTCTACAGTCTGCAACACACAAAATCAATATCACCTTAGAAACTGAGGACAGACATTCGCATCCCCACCCCCTCACACACACACATGCACACACACACTTCAACCTCCTCCTCTTAACATCCTCTCTTCGTCTCCCTCGCTGCTTCTCTGACACATCCCATTGCAAGCGCTGGACATAATAGCCATTTTCAGAGAAGTCCAATTTCACAAGGCAATTTTCAGCCAAGCAATAACAGCAGTGGTTAAATGGTTTTCTATTCTCTAGTTTCTCTTTTGTGCCATTTTGGCCCCATTTGTCCAAAGTATACCACAGCTCGCTCCTTACTTAAGTTATCCTCAGTGAAATCCTTGATGCCCAACTGTGTGTCTCTTTCCAGTCGGCTCCCATCTTTTGTTATGTCTCTCATCTTTATCTGCCCCTGTCATACTACCTGCTCCCTGCTTTTTTTCCTTCTATATTCTCTCTCTCTGTTCACCTCCCCTCACCTGTAGTCTCTTTAGTTGTTCCTCCAGACTGTGGAGCCTCCTGCACACTTCCTCCATCCTCTCCTGGGACAACACCAGCGGTGCACTGATGCTCCTCTCCTCCTCTGCCTTCGTCCCCACGCCTTCTTTTTCACAAGAGTTATCGTTCTCCTCCTCCGCTCCCCTGTCTGTTGTCTGGCTTTCTTCTGTGAAAGGAAAGACTCAATTTAGATGTGTCATGAGTCAGCTTTGTTTCTAACTGCAGTAGATTCTGACCAATAAAACTGTTTCACAAATTATCTATTTCTTATTCAAGTACAGCAGGCAGGTGTAAAGATAAGTAGTACAGCCTAAAAGTATATGTGGTCCTGTGCAGAGGTAGGTTGTGGGCATATGGTGGTCGTTAGACTGTGTTAGGCTGATCTACATTTTGCCAACAGGTGGTTTCAGTGGTAGGTTTAAAGATTTCTAACATCAGAAATGTGGACTTTCACTCAGAAGAGCTTGACTCAGTTCAACAAAAGGTAATCAAAAGACGGAGAAACCAAATTAGGTAAAGCATTTGTGTCAATTAAGATCTCTGAAAATTCAAATGCAATACTATTTAATAATATCTACCACCTAAAATTTATAAAATTGAATTTTAAAAAATATTTTGGGACCTGCAAACACCATGAACTGAGCCTTATCTGGTCATGCAGAAAGGTTTGAGAAGAACATGACACATTTAAAAATTCTGCGAAAGAGAGGCTTGTGTTTTTTAACTACTCTGAGGAAATTTTGTTTTGTGATGAAGAGAGGAAACAAAATGAAGCAGCTGATTGATTATGGAGGCAACATCTGGACTTTTATGAAGTCTATGAAGCTATACAACCAAAATTAAACATGATGTTTAAATGAATAGTGCTTTAGTCGAGGTTATAGAGGGTATATTAGAATATACAGGAGAGTTCACCCACTTCCTTTGTGGTAACCTACTCATCTATTGAGAAGGACACCCATCTCATTAACTACCACTGCAAAACTCAGTGTGACATTTTTGGAATTACACTCATTTGCTTATTGGCAGATAATTAGATGAACAGATCTGTTAAATATGAAGCTACAGCTAGGAGACAGCTAACTTAGCTTAGCATAAATGTAACAGGGTCAATGCTACAGCAGTAAAATGTGTTACTAAGTCAGATGTACATTTGTGTTATTAAGTATTATAATTACACAAAATTTCTGTCGGTTGTTATTCCCTGACACACACTTAGGCCTCCATAGTCACAATGTGGAACGTTTGATACTCAGGTTCTGTACCCCTACGTTCACCTTTGGGGGTTACCCTACCTATAATGTGGTGTCTCCTGCCTTCCTTCTCCCCTTTTGCTGTTGTACTCCATGGGAGAGGTAAGCGACATTGTGCTTGTAATGATTTCTGTGTTTTAGCGCTGTTAAGATATGTTTATGAGCTGACCTATAAAACATATTCCTGTGTAGGGGGTCAAGTTTATATGGTTGTAATTGACAGAGATTTAGGTTTTACCTCTTGCTGTCAGGTATGTTCTCCGTGTTTTATTGCACTGAATTGAAAGTAACATGGCCGCCCTTTTGCTGTTGAACTCCATGGAAGAGGGGCTTGAGTTAAATGGTCATGATTGAGGGAGGATTTTGTTTTCACCTCTCACTGTCAGTTGTCAGGAATAAACGGAGACCGCCTCCAAAGTTATCCGCAACACAACGCAGACAACACTAGAGTCAACTGGTTACATTAAGACTAGAGACAGGTGGAAACAGCAAGCCTGGCTCCGTCCAAAGAGCCTATCAGCACCTCTGAATAACTTGTTATACCTTGCTTGTTTTATTTGTCCAAAAAACACGACCCTTCTTGGCTCTGAGCAACACCTGCTAACTTTAACATCATGGTGATGATTTCATGAAGTCACAGCTCACAGCCAGCAAACATCTGGCATACTAACCTCTGTAAAACTGCACCTTGCCATTTTTTTACACTTATTTACTTGTATTTACTGACTGAATGAGTGAATTTTCCAAATTGTCAAACTATTCCTTTAAAAAACACAAACACCTACCTGTTGACTGACAGCTATCTGATTCTTGACCGGGCCTCTCAGATTGGTCCTCTCCGTTTTCTTCGTCAGGCTGAGAGTCTTCTGATAGACTGATGCTGCCGACCAGCAGCCTTTTCAGTGACATGACTAACACAGGAGACACATTTCATTAGAAGCACAGGCACGCTGCTATGAAGGAAAGGAAAGACAATAAAGATATAGAAATCATCTGTAGAGGCACAAGGAACCCCGTCATTCACCTTCATCCAAAGCACTGTTGGCCACCTTCTCCTGATCGCTGTTGGAGTGGCCTATCAAGTCGAAGCCTTTGTCTGACAGGAAATCAATCAGTCTGTGCCTGGGGTCTGAAGACTTGTCATCCGTCAAGCTGTCTTTATCTCGATCTACAGACAGACACAAAGAGCTTAACTTTGGCTCCAGCTTTCCAGAAATGTGTAACAATAACAAATTTGTGCCATTTATTAAGTGCTCAGCTGATAAAGCGCTGCGGCCTCACCACTGCTGCTTTTCAAACCCCCATTCTCAGTCGGGCTCAAAGGGGCATTCAGCCTGACGGGGAGAAAATGACAAAAGAAATGAGATATCTCGAGATGGGTGAACTTTGGCAGCCGATGAATGCGTCCTGCTCTTTCAAACACACACACACACACACACACACAGATTGACACATACGTGGGACTGAAGGGAGCTCCTCCACTTCCAGGAGGCAGTGGCAACCTCATGGGTGCTCCACTCTTCTTCAGATCATCCACTGCTGACTTAATCACATCAGTCCAGCTGTAAACACACACACAAACATCAGCTTACATTCCTCCTATCATTTACCTTTAGAAACACACATGGTTAGTCTGTGTATCCTTACATTTTCCTCTCTCCAACAGATTGAGCCACCAGTTCATAGATCTGAGCGCCGCTGTCCCAGGTAAATATCACATAGAAAGCCTTCCGATCTGATGGCGCAGGGAAAAAAGCAGACATTAAAAGGCTGAATGATATCGATCCCGCAATGTAAGTGAGCGTATTTGTCTGTGAAACTACTGCGCTGTCGTGTGCAGCTAACCTGTGGCCACCTCACGTAGGAAGACTGAGTCCAGCTTGATGATGGGGCTCAGCATCTGCTTGCCCTCCTGCATGGCGATGTTACTCTTGCTCTGACATTTGAGAACCATCTTGTCGTCCTGCCTCTGTAAGAGCACCAGCAGGTCCCCGAGCAACACACACTGCACCTCTGAGAGAGAGAGAGAGAGGAGAAGGAGTAAGACGGTGAAGTGGACAAGATGTAGACAGACAGGGAGGAAGAGATGGAAGAGAGTGAGATAGAGAGGTTCTCTGCTTTCTGTTTCTCACTGCCTTACAGCTGATTTTTTATGTATATGCCTTCATTACTTTAGACTCTTCTTTTTAGAATCTATATTTATTTATTAATGCATATGTCACCAATTCCACATATAGTTTACAAAGCTTATGGCCTTGATTGTTTTAGTTTCCATCTATTGTCTGGGTATCTGTTGATCCAGGCTGCACACACTTGCCCATATATCAATAAATAAAGTGGAACTGAGTTGAATTGAGGTTGGGTTACTAAACATAACTGTATATAAAAAAGGAAGCCAAGGGGCCAATGAGACCTCAAAAAACAAATGAATAAACCCTAAACTGCAGCTGGGTTTCCTCTTATAGCTAACATTGATTGACAAATTTGAAAAAGGGAAATGAGAACAGAAACAAATTGATAATAATATTCACAACATCTCAAAATAAACCACTGTTGGGTTTTTCTGGCCTTTTGGAAACAGATAATTGACTGTGAAAGCAGGGCTGTGCAGACCTTTAGAGGGGCAGGTGCTCGAAGTTAAAAGCGGGCACATGAAACAATGCTTTAAAACACCACATACCAACATAATTTCCGGCATAACCTGTTGAATTATTGCAACCCATATTCAAACTGAATGTAACATGGAATCTAACACCAGACTGCATCATGCTATTGTCACTGTCCCCCACCCGATGACAACAGAGGGGGACTATGATAAGTAAAAATGAGGAAATTATGAATCTTAAAATGTAGTTTGAGCTGTTTTCCTCTTCAAGTGCCTCAGAAATAGTCCTGTAACTGTAAAGAGCCAATTATCCTTGTGTTTGCTTTTTATTTTGTTTTCCTGTAATACCACTTGTCACTTGACAGTCGCGTACAAACAGGGCCTTGTTTAGACGGGCAGGGAAATGCAGCCAGGTGTGTTGCATGCCTGGGAGGCCCTGAGCTTTTTGACCATGGTCATGGCGTCAGGGAGAAAGATAGTGGAGCGGTAATGCGATTACGCGACCTAACTTTGCTCGACGGTCTCTCATTCCTACGGCACACGTCAATTAGAACTCAATGACGTGCTACAATGCAGTGACTTAGCGGAAAGCCACCTTCATAACAATCACATGAAATTTGGACATAGTCAGGGTCGTCCTGAACAGGAATCCTTTTAAAATTTCATATAGTCTGTTACAGATTTTTTTCACGAAATTCCTTATATGAGGAAATTTTGAACATGTTATGTAGCAATTTCAGATGACTTTCTTTTTATAATTCTCTAAACTGTACACTTAAACCATATGAACCTTTGTATGGTCATAGTCAGCGTCACTCTTTCAGCAAATCCACGAAGAAAGGTTTGTATCACAGGTCAAAGATGATATGGCTACTTGATGATATTTTAATTTGGAGCTCCCTTTTTTTAAAAAAATAAAAGAGCACTACAGTAGAATAACTTAATAAATTTTGTTCTAACTTGATTTCATATAATGTGCAATAATGCCATTTTACTTGGTATATCAAAAGTGAGAAGTTATGCTGAAATAAATGGGCACTTTGGACATCAAGGGGCAACTGGGCACGTGCTCGAGCACCCTCAGCCTCCCTCTCTGCACATGCCTGCATGATAGTTAATTTTATTATTCATTTATTGTGAATGGGGGTCTGTTAGGGGTCGTGGGGGGGCTGGAGCCTATCCCAGCAACCAGCCACGCTCACATTCAAAACTTAGGGCAATTCAGAGTCACCAATTAAATGTGATACATATAAATGTGAGCCAAATTAATTGTTTAATGTTGATGAATAATGGTACAAAAAATGGTTCTGCAATTTTTAAATGTCTGTGAAATGTTTATGTTTCAGCAGCAGATAATCCCAGGTAGTTAGCATTCATTTCACACACACACAAGCATATATTTACCAATTGCCTTCTCCTTTGTGACTCTCCAGGTCACAGGGCCTTCATAAAGCATCTTCTTATGCGTCAGGTCGATGTTCTGGAAAAGACACAGTGAGAATAATGAGAACATTTCCTGCAACAAAAATGTCAAGGAACTAAATTCTGCAACGCTCAACACTGCATGCAAACAAACTTTGCTGACAGAGCCTCACCTTATATTCAGTATAAAGCTCATTACTGGGTTTGAGCCCTGATGTGTCCAGTCTTCGCTGGTAGTCCTTCAGAGTCTGGGAGCAGAGAGAAAGGTTAGCCAGTCATAGGACAGACGGCACAGGAGCAGAAGTAGTCTAACAAGCAGAGGCCTTCAGAGGTCTCAAAATGAATTTACTAGACTCCAATTGGTGCTCAATCACCACATAACAGCGTGTTGAGTGATGGATTGTGTGTTTCTCACCAATAGGTTCTCCATCACTTTGACCTCCTCATTGACATGGTTGAGGATCTTTCTACAGCACTCTGCGCTCTGCTGGATCCTCTCCTTCTCTGTCGGGTCCTCTGTGGAGAGACAGAAAAACACAGAGCTGGAGAAAATACAGCTTTCACAGCAGAGCCCAAACAAAAGCCATAAATCACAAGCGTGCACAAAAAAACAGTGCCATGGGGAGTAATCGATTCTTTAAATGTTTTGCTGGTGCGCTTAAGTTCATCTGCATTCATCCTGTGTTCTGATGAATATATGGTTTAAAACACTAGCATACTAATCATCTGCATTCTGATCTAAAAATGTGCCACTGACTTTTACTTAAAACATTTACACAAACGCATAGATCATCCTATGGCTGTCAGAAAAATTTAAGCCCATGTATCAGCTGGCAAAATCTACATATAGACCAGACATGGAGTTATTAGTAGATAAGCTTCTGTTACTTTTAATCATTTTCATTCCACCTTTTCTGTTGAACAAGACAGGATATAGAGGGAATAGAGAGCAATGTAAAATGATGATGTATAGATTAAGAGAGGATGTAATGATAATGTTTACACCGTGGTACGTGCTGCCTTAAGATATCTGGATGTAGTAAAGCACTACAGGATTTTTGCATCAATGTAATGAAGTGTCTCAGATGGTCAAGTATTTAATTTGAACAACAGAAATTCCTGTCAATTTCCCATTACATTTTCCCCCCAAAAAACGACTATAGCAATATGCAGTACTGATATCTAGGGCAGGCCTCTGAAAGTCAAACACTCAGATCTTCAGTTAAAGACCCCTTAGTTTCCTGTCAGTCATGTTTCAGTCTCCAGATTTAGCTGCAGAGTGAGCACTCCTCACTTTCACACTGCTCTCTGGTACTGGCAGCTTCAGACCCAGACCCAGGGCGGTCTGATTAAAGGCCTTTGCACACTTAGTCTGAAACGTTTGTCCATCATTAAAATTTTTGGAACTCGCTTTTATGTGTTTTTTGCATCCGTCAGAGTTATTAAGACACGTTTGACCAAGAATCAGTGAGAAAAAATGTGGCAACACAGCTGCTACAAAACAGAGTTCATGATTCAGATCAGATATTAATATTCAGGGTGGATGATGAAGAAGAAGAGGAGGATGTAGACGGCACACAGAATGCGGAGGACAGCTCTGCTCCTTCATGCAACCGTGGTGGCAAATGAAAGACAGGGAGGGAGTGGTGACAGCCAGATAGGTAACTTCCAGTGGAGATAGGCAAAGGAGGAAATGTGTCTTTTTATTTTGACACAAATTGCAAATTTTCACAACGAATACAACAATAAAACGCTTCAGACTCAGTGTGCAAGGTTTCTGTGCATAACAACTTCTTCATAACGTCAGCTTAATATGATACAGTCTCTGACTTTTGTTTGATATCTAGTGTTGTTGCACATTTCTGATTATCATTAGCGTAGTTAGCTTGCATTAGCTTGAATGGCCATCTTGGCTTGTTAACTATATAAATAGTCAAATTTTCATATTGAACAACCAAATCTGATACGACTGACAGAATTCTGAGTTGGGTGCAACCCTGCTACTATTATGATATGAAATTAAATATAGCGTTACAGAGGATTTTGTCTATTTCACATTTTAATCAGTAGCATAATAAGGTTATCTGTCATCAGTGAAAACTTAAAGGTCTCATAAAGATGTCTACACAGGAAGAGTATTGACACTATTGTGAGCCACAACCAGGCATGGGACAGACACACGCATCCAAACACACACCTGTGCTCTTGGCAATATTTTCCAGCAGCAGCGGGTATTTGGTCAGTCTCTGCATCTCTATGGGGATGATGTCCTTGAGCTGCAGCCTGCGGCACTGGGGCTTACTCTCTGCCTCCTGGGATTAAACATACACACAGAGTGTGTGAGAGCACATGTATGTACTGGACCACCTGTGTGACCTCTTGCATGTCCATGCATCTGTGTGTGTGTGTGTGTGTGTGTGTGTGTGTGTGTGTACCTGTATGAAGGAGTTGAAGCGTGGCTCTTTCTTCTGCCTGCTCTTGATCTGGTCCAAGGCCCACGACTGATGACTGCAGAACCGGGCTGTCAATTTCTGGAACCACTCTCCCTCTGTACCTTCAAACTGGAAAACCCAAAAAACACAAAACAACACTGTGTTGTAATAGCCAATAGTAAAAAAAGAATGAGAGGAATAAAGAGATGGGCAGATGGAGAAAGAGCTGGAAAAGGTACAGAGCAAAGACAACTCATATAACGGTCTGACTGTTACAGCCAATATTTTACTTTTATAGATAAACAGCTTTCAGCATTTGTGCAACCAACAAAATCAGATTTTGGCACAACTACTGCCGAGTTGTGTTGAATTAAACTGTCAGCAGATATCTATTGAGGTTTTCCTTACAGCAACATACACGCTGAGAGAAAAGAGAGATGGAATAATATAAAAGAGAAGGATTATGATGACTCACTCTGTTGAGCACTGTGGTGCTGATAGATTTGACTATGAAGTTGTCATCCAGACGCAGTTTCTTCAAGTTCTCGTAGAAGTTATCTGCGTTCACAGCCAAAGGGAAACAAATGAATAATTTACATTTGAAGTACAGTGAGCAACTCTTCTTTATTCAACAGGCACCGACTATTTTTTGTAAGTGACGCAATTATTTCTGATGTCTGAATTATTCTTGACTTAGGCGAGTTGTACAGGAAGTTAACTTTATCACTTGCAACAAATACACATAAAAATAAGTTTCACGCTCAGAACACACAAATTTAGATTCACTACATAATGATCTGCTTGTTGGGTGAAGGCGAGCACTAGTAGCATCCCAGTTCTCTGGGAGGACACAAACTCAGGTCAGACAAGGCCTCCTTGCAGCAGCACTCACAGTGCATCTCAATGATCTCATCCAGGTTGGGGAAGATGGCGGCCACCTCAGGGGAGGTAAGGAGCTCCTCTCTCTCCAGGGGCTTTGAGAAGACCATCTGAAGGACACTTAGCATCCGCACATGGGCGTGCTCTGTCGCAAACAACTCTGAGAGGAAACAGAGAGTAGACACGGCATAAGAAAGAAACCATCTACAGTCAGGTCCATAATTATTTGGACAATGATACAGTTGTCGTCATTTTGGCTCTGTACACCACCACAATGAGTTTTAAATGAAACAATGAATACGTGCTTGAAGTGCAGACTCTCAGCTTTCATTTAAGGCTTTTTTCAACAATGTAGTATGAACCATGTAGGAATTACAACCATTTCTTCACACAGTCCCCCGACTTTAAGGGCTCATAAGTATTTGGACAAACTAACATAATCATCAATTAAACAGTCAGTTTTAATACTTGGTTGCAAATCCTTTACAGTCAATGACTGCCTGAAGTGTTGGACACATAGGCATCATCAGATGCTGGGTTTCTTCCCTGGTGATGCTCTGCCAGCCCTTTACTGTAGCCGTCTGCACTTCCTGCTTGTGTTTTGGGTGTTTTGCCCTCAGTTTTGGCTTCAGCAAGAGAAACGCATGCTCAATTGGATTCAGGTCAGATGATATGACTTGGCCATTGCAGAACATTCCACTTCTTTGCCTTAAAAATGTCTTTGGTTGCTTTTGCAGTATGCTTCAGGTCAATGTCCATCTGCACTGTGAAGCATCGTCCAATGAGTTTTGAAACATTTAGTTGAATCTGAGCAGATAATGGTGCCCCAAACACTTCAGCTTTCATCCTGCTGCTCTTGTAAGCAAGACAAGACTTCACTAGAATAAATACAGAGGGTTTATCACAAGATGCAAACCATTGGTTAGCCTTAAAAATGGAAGGCCAGATTAGAGTTTGTCAAAAACCATCTAAAAAGCCTGTACAGTTGTGGAACAGCATACTATGGACAGATAAAACAAAGATCAACTACCAGAATGATGGGAAGACAAGAGAAGGAAGAAGGGAAGGAACTGCTCATGATCCAAAGCACACCACCTCATCAGTGAAGCATGGTGGAGGTACTGTTATGTCATGGCCATGTATGGCTGCCAGTGGAACTGGTTCTCTTGTATTTATTGATGATGTGACTGCTGACAAGAGCAGCAGGATGAAAGCTGAAGTGTTTGGGGCTACATTATCTGCTCAGATTCAACCAAATGCTTCAAAACTCATTGGACGATGCTTCACAGTGCAGTTGGACATTGACCTGAAGCATATTGCAAAAGCAACCAAAGACATTTTTCAGGCAAAAAAGTGGAATGTTCTGCAACGGCCAAGTCATATCATCTGACCTGAATCCAACTGAGCATGCGTTTCTCTTGCTGAAGCCAAAACTGAGGGCAAAACACCCAAAACACAAGCAGGAAGTGCAGACGGCTGCAGTAAAGGGCTGGCAGAGCATCACCAGGGAAGAAACCCAGCATCTGATGATGTCTATGTGTCCAACACTTCAGGCAGTCATTGACTGTAAAGGATTTGCAACCAAGTATTAAAACTGACTGTTTAATTGATGATTATGTTAGTTTGTCCAAATACTTATGAGCCCTTAAAGTTGGGGGACTGTGTGAAGAAATGGTTGTAATTCCTACACGGTTCATACTACATTTTTGAAAAAAGCCTTAAATGAAAGCTGAGAGTCTGCACTTTAAGCAGGTATTCATTGTTTCATTTAAAACTCATTGTGGTGGTGTACAGAGCCAAAATGATGACAACTGTATCATTGTCCAAATAACTATGGACCTGACTGTATATCTATTAATTTCCTTCTCATGAAGTGCTGCTTCATCGCTCCTCTCCTCACCATTGATGACCTCCTGCCTCTTGGTCTCCTTCTTGCTGAGACTAGACAGGGCCTCAGGGGGAGCCAGCTCCCTCCAGTTGGGCGGGTCCTGCTCAAACTCCAGGAGGCGTGGATCCACCTCGTCCAGCTGTGGGGAGGGGCTGGTGGGGGAGTGGCCGGGCCCTTCAGGGAAAGTAACCGGTCCGTCGGAGCTGAGGAACGAAGGACATGGGAGAGTGATAATTTAGGATGGATCCTACTGTACAACGTAACTCAAGTATGACCCAGGTGGCTATCAAGTGATGGTGGGTGGCACCAGTGGAGGTTGTTGGCTGTGGAACAGCAGTAGCTGTGACCTGGTGGTTGCATTTCTTATAAATGACACCAGGGATGTCTTAACATTGGATGATGTCAAGATCATAATGGCTAACCTGAGAATCTTGCTATCTAGCAACGTCCTACTGCTTTTGCTGTAGCCTATCATATACATATTACATATGATATTACAGTACTTTTGTGAACCTAAGACTTTGGTTAACCCATTTTGAGCACCCAAACAAGTGGTTCACATGAGTAAAGGTATGTTTTATGAGAGGTGGAAGTAACAAAAGTAACTGATTAACATAGAGGCAATAAAAATACATGTGAATTGAGAAATTAAGTGATAAATTATCAAATGATTCGATTAATTTCGACCCACTTTGATTAAAACAGTCCTCATATGATTAAAAAACAGAGCCATGTTTCATCATTTTCCTCTACAAGTCATCAAATCAAAGCCAACTATTTAACTAAGGTATTGTTAAAGTATTACATTTTATGTGATGAGAAAGCTATATATAGTCTGCAACTGAGATCGTTCTAGCGAAGGAAATGCATCTTATTGTCACTTTAATGAGCAGTTAAAGGCTACTGAACTCTGCTCTTACACTGTCAATCCACTTTCACTGCAGCATCACAAACTAGCTTGATTAGGATGTATTACCACACCGCTTGCTTTCACATTTTCAGTAAATGATAGAATGTAATAGTGAAAAACACTGTTAGCAGTAAAATGACTATCGGAGTGTTTGTATGAGGAATTCTCTCGCTTCCCTCTCACGTTTTGCCACCATCCTGCCAAGGTAAAAGCTCACGAGGAAGCCTGGCTTACAAGTTGCGATCCAAAAACTCGTCAGTGTGCGTGGTTTTCATTGAGATTTTGGGCGGCAGTACAAAAAACTGCTTGCTATAAACGATGAATGTTAGTTGGGTGACACTGTTTCAAATAAAATGTCCATCGAATTTATCAAATAGATTGAAAAATTGTCACTTTTTCAGTTCATATACATTTGCATCGCTTCCATTTTCAACTATTTTTTAACTCACATCCCTGAGGCCACTTTCCTGAAACAATAAATGGCAATGCTGTGATGAATGTAAGACGAGGAAAATGAAACATGACTGTTTTCATCATTTAACAACTGTTTTAATCAAATTATCTTTAAATTGATCAAATTAATTGATATTAATCATTCTTTTTCACTTTACAGCCATTTTCTCACCTCTCAAAATGCATTTTTATTAATTAATTTTGTTACTTCAACAGCTCATAATGTTTTCACAAGAGATTTGAAGAATTAAAAAGTGACTATTTACCTATTTTTATTTGATCTATTTTGTATTGAAACAAATTGAGGCCTCATTATACATCGAACTTTTCTACAAATGTTGATATGAAACACATGGCGTCATGTTATCTGCAAGTACTTTAAAAAGATATATAAATGGAAAATGCCCTTGGACCCCGAAAGGTTGATACAGCTTTGCAAAATCTTACAATATATATCTTACAAAGACAAATAACTGCTAATAATTTAGGTTAAATCAAACTGAAGCTTTTCAACTACCAGTTAATGTCCTGCAGATTAAGAGTCATGACAGTTTTGTGTTGCACAGTAACCATCACATGATCCACTTATTATTGTATTATTATTATTATTGTATCTTTAATCCACACCATTACAATTTTATGTGTTTTTTTCTCTTCTAGTCTTGTTGTTATTCATCTGTTGGCCTTTATTTGCACAAAGCCACTCTCCACTGGACCTTCATGATGACAGCAGCTGTCATTGTAGGGACTGCTCAAGAAAAAATACAAGAGAAATGTACTGAGATCTTTGACTGAACTTGACCCCTGTTGGCTCACTCTGGGTCATGTTCATTTTCAGGACATTCCCCTCTGAGTCCAGGCAAAATACAACTGACCGTGTCTGGAATTTATAGTCAGCTAACAGCTGACTTAATAAAACCTTAATAAAAGGTTAGCAACTAATGCTTACTATTGATCACTAATCATGTCTCTACAGAGCTAAGCATCTGACCTTCCACTGAAAATAAGAGTGCTGTTTAACTGTAAGTCACTGTCTGTCCCTCACACAAGACTTCAGATCTCTCTGAGGGCGAATAATGAGTCAGTGAACCTGTCAGTCTTATTGATTCACATGGATTAATTTAAATATACTTTCAAAGCGATCTATCGATCAGTTCTATATGAGCCAGGTGAGCTTGATCCATCGATATTCTCATTATTACCAACTGTTTTGTTTATCTGCTTTCTGATTATTTCAGGACTGCTGCCCTCATTCTGTTTTATCTGCCAGTGTTTGACAGCCTGTCTGTCCCTGCGGTGCACCTCTCCGATTAGAGAGCCATTAGGACGGGGGTTTGTCCATCTTACGGATGGAGGTGCTGGGGGGTGAGCGGGGCAGGTGATGTTGTCGTGGAAGAAGGAGGCTGCAGGTCCACATCACTACGGGAGCGAGACTGTTTGGCCCGGGAAGAGCCACGGCGGCGAGAGGAGTGCCGGTCCACGCGGGCACTCTCGCTACGCCCCACCTTCCTACTGTAGGGAGGGAAGAAGGGAGAGGGTGAGGGAGGGATGAAGAAAAGAAAGGGACAGAGTAGAGAGGAGGAGGAATTGGGGTAGAAAGAAAAGTAGGAACAAATGCAAGAGAGGACAGATGGATTAGGAAAAGTTAAAGAGGAAACGGGGTTGACGAGGAGAAAATGAGAACAGACGTAAAGAAGGAGGAAACAAAGATATGCCACAGGAAGGACAGGAGATAAAGGCAGTGACAACAGCCATGTGCAGCCAGTGTGCACAGACATTTGTGTTAATAATGAGGGTTAAGAGGAGGAAAAATGATTTTGGTAGAGCAAAAACAGACAGGAGAAGAGAATCACATCAACAAAAGATGGAGAAAGAAAATGAGTGACAAATGAATATGCATGACGTATTGTATGACATGCATACACTGGTTAGACTACAAAACACAGAGTATGCTTCATTTACAACACTTCCTACATTGCCTAAAGTACCCATGCATTGCTTCTACATCATATTTGTACCAGGAGTTTGCAGTAAGGCAACTTTACTGGTCATTCATGTCAACAAATCCACACAACGTGCATTCACATCCACTAAAAATCATCCAACTGATCTCAACACTCAGGCTTTCTCTAATTCCTTCACAAGCAGATACGTGATACTTAGCCATGTTTGTGTCGTGTGTCAGGAGCGCAGGGCTCACTGTGAGGCGTGTATGCGGGTAAATGTTATTTGTGTGTTGTGTGATCTGTATAAGGCCTGAAGCATGTCCATGACTCTGTCAAGGCGCTGACACCCACCTTGTCTTCCGTCTGTAAAAACACGGGACACCACATCGTTACACACCCGTCTTTCAACAGCTATTAGCCACAGTAGCAACCATATCATGCAAATGCACACCCCCGACATGATATCCTGAGCTAGTTCTAACCGCTGTCAGAGTAGCATGCCAGATAAGATGCCAAAGCCCCCCTGGCACAACATGTAACCGCACACACTGTGGAGACAAGCAGGACAAAGGACGGGCCCTGGCCACAACAGACGCAGACACCTTGGAAAGCACACGGGGCGAGCAACAAAAACTAAAATATGAAATTGAACTCATTGTCCATTTTTGACCATTAAAGCTAAAGTTGGTGACTTTTATAAAAACTTTTTGTCTGGAACTGTCACTACATTCACACAGTAGTGCATGAGGGCCTGATAGTCAGCTGTTGGTTAATGCCAGGTGGTCAGTGAGCATCTGTCGCCCACAGTCAGCCCTTGTTGGCTGTTTACCAGCATGTTGAATTGGTGTCAGGTGGGAGGAGCCCACAGCAAACAAACAGCTAAAGTCAGGAGGGTGTGAGATCAAACAAACTTGTTATATTAGGTAAGATTATGTGTTTTAGCCACTGAGCCCTAGAAACACTTCATAACTGTCTATAATTTTGTTCTTTTATTCTTTCAACATCAAGTTGTGTTGTTAATGTGCTAACTGGCTAACTAGCATCTTGAATTCACCCTGCCAATCTTCCAGTCCTTTTTAATGATGAATACAGACTGCAGCCACCTGCTGGTATGGAGAGATATTTCCTCTCACTCAGGCGCAGAGCATATGTCCTAGTTGGCTGTTGGCTGTAGTCTAGGCGGTGTGTTCAAGTGCAACTTTGTGGCTCAGACGCCGCCAATGTGAGGCGACACAACAGTGGACCTTCCTTGCTACTAGTTCTTTGATGTTGGTTTGGTGTGTCTGGGCCTTGAGACAGTCTGACAATCAAATTCTTCCTCTCTCTTTTAGTGTCTCAAATTTGCTAGAATTCATCGCAGCTGAAGGAAAACCACCAATCAGAGCTGAGAAGTCTCTTGTGCAGCACTTAATCATATCAGTCACTGCTCAACCTGTCAAGCTAGTGAGCGCTGATCAAATATGAATCAAGACTCTGTTACTGCACTGCTTATTTCCCATCTCAAAGAGACATATTTTAGTGTACTGTTTAGCTGTGAAATGAGAAAGGTGGTCCAGCTGGAGGGCAGTGCGTCGTTTTGGCTCGACTGTTTCCAACATGGCCGCCGGATCTCAAACTTTCTCATTTTACAGCTAAACAGTACACTAAAACATGTTTCCGAAAACATTTGAGATGAGAACTAAGCAATGCAGTGACAGAATCTTGATTTTTATTTGATCAGCGCTGCTCAGTTTGACAGTTTGACTGCAGTTCATGATGGTGGCATCAGGGACTCCTTGGCTCTGATTGGTTTTCACTGACGTGCAGTGGACTCTTGGAGAAAAATTATTTTTTTCACAGATTATCTGTCTCATGTACTACTGTGTGAATATATAGACCATTTCGGCAATTATAACAAAAAATATTTTAATAAAAGTTACCAATAACAGCTTTAAATAAATAGTTGCACAGTCTGAAGATTACTGAACTGCCTTACTGTAGATGAAGTAGCCAATCTTCACATTTTTTAAAGCTTTAGACAAACTTATCAATATCACCATTTCTACTGGTTAGCTAAAATGTCTGACTTAAATGCCAAACCTGTTTACTGGACAGAAAGTTGCAGCAGAGAGAGCCTCATCTATAGTCAGTGGCATAGAACCGTAGCAATTACAATTGTCTCAGTGTATCTAGAAGGAAACACCAGTGCATTGACCAACAAGTACCTGAATCCAATAAAATAAATAAGAGAGTCAGAACTGCACAAACAATGCCTATATGCAACAAAAACTGCAATGAAGCTCTGTTGTAAACACGAGGAGATGCACAACAGGACACACGCACGAAAGGACATGAGTGGGACAGGATGATGTAAGGAAGAGAGCACACGAGCCGTTGTGGGAAGATAAAGGAGAGAGGGCATGAGGGACAGGGAAGGCAAAGGGCTGGAAGGTAGGATCAGGTCCAAGTTCACCTGGTCAGGGTCCGTCTCAAACCTGCAGGATCTGTTAGCGAGCGAGCGAACGGGCAGCATGACAAAAGCTTGCACACGGCAGGGACAGACTGCTGGGGGAGTTTTACCACGCTCCCTCAGCCTGAGCACCTCAGACGTGTCACTTCCCCCTTCCCCTTGGCATTACAGCTATGCAGTCTTTACACCTCCCATACAGTCTAATTATAATCTGATTACAGTCTCTAATCCTGTAATTTGTTATTTCTCAGTCACTACACTGCAGTTATAATCTCACTTCCCTGAAAGCTTTTTCATTACCAACTCCTTCCTCCTCACCTGTCACCTTTCTCCACATTTTCCTCTGTGGGAGTGTCCATGGGTGAGAGGGGCTCGCCGATGGTCAGCCCTCCTCCCAACCCGACGGGGGAGATGTCACCCCCGTCTGACAGGGTCGGAGGGTCTAAGCGATTGCTTGAGACGCCTGGAAGATTGGAAAAGGGGAGAGGGAACAAACGAGGAGTTATGTGTTGCAGTTTTTTCTGCTGAAAGAGAAAATAGTGGTTCTTTTAATCGCAGACTTTTTAGTGTTTGACTGCAAGCAATTAATAAACTAACACATTTTTTAAAAAGCAGTTATGAATTGATTATTCAAAATCACATTATATTCTGATTTGAAGCGTGCTAACAAGTTCAACTAAGATGGTGATCATCCTAAACAATATACCTGCTAAACATTAACAAGTCTGCATTGTCACTGTGGGCATGTTAGCATGTTAGCATTTAGCTTAAAGCACCGGTTTGCCTCACAGAGCTGTTAACGTGGCTACAGTCTTGTCAGTGAACGGGTTTACCATCAATGTGCGAAGACTCGGGGCTGTTGGTGGTGCTGTTGTTGTTGCCCGACCCATCGCTGATCTCTAACCCAGGCAGGGAGGCGGGGCTTCCGGTGGAGCCAGGCTTCCTGCTGGGGATGGAGGGAGCTGCACAGTCGGTCAAGGAACCTCTGCCGGGCGCTGGACCCTTACGCTCTGGATTCACTTTCTCCTTTTCAGCTGAAGACAGGAGGACAGCGACAAGTTTAACAGAGCTGGACTATAGACGAAGGAAATTAGGGCTGCACAATATATAATTTTTTAAATCGCCATTGCGATGTCAAGTTGCGTGATTAAGACACTGCAACTGCAGGGATTTTCTGAGTTAGCCGCAAGAGATTATCAGTAGAAAACTGCACATAAAAATGCAACCTTTTTTTTAATTGGTGCCTTTGCAGTTAGTTGCACAGAGCCCCAAAAGTCCCGAATGGTGATGTTCTTTTATCTTGTGCGCACAAAAATACAAAAAATATTACCTTCCGAGACTTTAGGGGCTTCGTACAATGTTCAGTGTTCAATTTGTTCAATAATTTCCTTTAATTTTTTTTAATTCTACAAGCAGTTTGTTGTATTTTAGCGGTATACTGAAAGCAGGAGAAAACTGAGTACAATTTAATGTCTGTTTATTTATCTCAAGTAATATTGTTAGTTAGATTCAACGACATTATCGCATATTTTCCACATATCGTGTAGCCCTAAAGCAGATCCATGAAAACATGACCTAAGAGCACTTCAGTCATTGAAAACGGGACTTTGTGAGACAGAAAAACAGACAGGATGAGTATGATGCAATCAGGGCCTCTGTGGTCAATGAGAGGGTTAGTTTGGTGCAAGAGAACACCCAAAAAACCTGCAGGCGAGATACTATGTGAGCCATGTGTGAGGGTTTTTCTGGTGATTACAAAATATACAAAACATAATTCTTCAAACAACCACCCCTGAAAAACAGAACACATCCCCTCCCAGTTTGATTTGGGACATGCAGACATGCTAAAGGGTTGATTAGTTGGGATGTGACCATTCTACAGATAAAAGGGGGGGCGGGGAACTCCGGACGACTAGTACCTTCAGCCTCCGTTTTAGGTTTGACGTCAGCTGTAACAGGAAAGAAGGGCAGGACAACATGTTCTCAAATCCAAGCCATTCATTGACATCAATATTTAAAGATACCACATGTAGTTATATGTCAATATCATACACTATCATAAATATTTATGCAATCTATAAATGTAGGATACTTTCGAATATCATTTAGAAATGGACAGAAATGAAATACAGGGCTCATGTGTGATGTTTGCTAAGACACAAAAAGGTAATACATACTGGTGCCTCCAATCCAGCTGGGGATGCCGGGGAACACCCCTCTGGGCTTGCCCTTTGTGGATTCATCCTTCTTATTCTTGAGAGACAACACAGATGGAGAGCAAGGGAGAAGGCCACATTAAAAAGAAGTCAAATCTGTGCAGAAGCATTTGTATTCCTGCAGCCCTTAAAGGTTTTATAAGGACAGTGCTGTGCATTTATTCACCTGTCTGATTACTGATTGTTTTAAATTTAGTTTCCCTGACAGGATGTGATGGTAGCTTACCTTTACCAGCTGTCTCCTGAAGAAGCCTCCTCTGGACTTCTTACTGTCAACTGCCCTGGTTTTAACCCCAAGGTGCTTCATGAAGAAGGCCACCGCTGAAAAGATGGATTGGCTACGGGAGAAGTTAGAGAAAGATGCTCATTAATAAAACCTAAGGCTGCTTTTACTCTTGTGTTAATGTTCTGTTTTGCAGGATTTTTTGGCTATAATTAAACTTATTTAAATTCATGGCATTGCAGTTCTTATAGACGCATCTGTCCTCAGTGTATTTCACATTAAAGGCTGAAACAAAGTATATTTGCATAGTCTCTGATGCCACTGAGGAGAACGCTGAGAGACTTGCACAAAATGGACTTTGCAAATGAGGATTAAAAAATGGAGATGGGCAGATGTAAAGAGGTGGGAAGAGGGGAGGTGGAGAGTTGGATATGTTCAGGGAGGAGAAGGGAGGAGGAGGAGGAGTTGGAAAAAGAGTGGGGAGGAGAGAAAATGTGACAGAAAAAGACAAAGGAGGAGCTGGGAGAAATAAGAGGAGTTGGAAGGGGAAAAGAGTGAGGGAGGAGCCTCTGGGGATGTGCAAACAACAAAAGCACAAGTGTCTCTGTTTTACAGAGCATGAGGTCCGAATACACTGACTGCAACATAAAGAACTTTAATCACAAAGGACCCAAATGGTTAGGAAAAAGCATACAAAGTGCATGACAGGGTTTAATAATTCACGGTACGTGCATCACGTTAATCAAGACGTGAGAAATTTAAGAATGTATTAAAATCTTTCTGAAGTGCAGTGACAATGTCTCTAAACACATTACAATGATATATACTTGTAGAAAGGACGTTTTCTATAGAAGAACTCAGCTGAATGTGAACTCTCTGAATCTGGTGCACTTGAGCCAGTATGCAAAAATCTTGTGGTTTGACCACACCCAGGCATGCACAGTTCAAATCAGCTTCACATGCACAAATGCTCAGTCAAGCAGAACTCTCATGCAAATATTTTTTAACTTTACAGAAAAGAAAAAACTTCACTCACCATTTTTCCTCGTCCGAGACAATTGAAGGTCTGCAAAAAAAGAGACAGGTGTCAGTGATGCTGCTTTTGTAAAGGGACCAAATTAAAAACAGACTCACTCATCTTGCAGCATCACGCTCACCTCTCCTTTTTAAGTAGCATTTTCCCTTTCTTTTGCTCGACTGAGTATTAACTGTGTTTTGGGCCGGTGGAATCTGAAGTGACTAAGCTTTTCCTGATCCAACTCAGAACTGATTGTTGTGTTTTTGTGTTCAGAGCAAAAGCTATTGAACATATTCTAAAATTTGCAACAAAAAAAAAAAAGAGAAAAGAAAAAAAAAAGATTAAAAAAGTAAGAGATGCATCAAAAGCTGCACCTCTGTCTGCTCTTATTTAAAAAATCAACTTGCACTCTGGAAGATCTGCAAATAATTCAAACTACTGCCTCAAGACTGTCTAAAACTTTCTCTGCTCTGGTTTGTCTCTCTGGTACGCTGTCTGCAAAGGGAGTCCGGTGTCAGAAATGGTCCAGCACAGCGGAAATGTCTATTTAAGTGTGTTTTTGTCTGATGCAACATGCAGGCAAGACTGAGGAAATTGGATACTCATGTTTTGCTCTGAACATAAAGGGTGGGAGGGGTTTCCCCGGGAATTCCCTGTATAATCCAATGAAACGGCCTGGTTTCCTCATTGTCATGACCGGAGAGACCAATGAGAAAGGTCAGTGTTGTGGTCGAATGGGAGGCGGGGGTCAGTGGGTGCAAGAGTGTGGGAGAAGTGCGAGGGCAACAGAGAAATGACTGCTGGCAGTAATGAATAGAGTGAAGGAATATTTTGTGCATTGGAGATAAAGATCCAAGTGTGTGATAGTATCTGAGTGAGTCTGAAGTCGAATTTTCGTGTCTTTGATACAGAGTGCTTTGCAGGCTTTTTGTGTCTTCTCCACTGACAACATGGTTATATCCACAGGACGAGTGCTGCTCGTGCACAGTGCATCTCTTTTCATATCTGTTGTTCATTTTTTTTCCTCTGTTCTGACAAGATGAAGTTAGACAGTCTCCTGCCCTCTTGCTGGCCTCCTCTCCCTCTCTGTCTGACTCGCTTCTTGTAGAGGATAACACATTGTAGTTGGCCACGGGGTCAAGGATAGATTAACTTTCCCCCAGATCTCTTGCTTTCTTTCTTTAACCGTGTCCAGGGCAGGAGCTATCCAGCAACGATAACCCTCTGGCCTTTTCTCTCCCCTTCCTCCTTCCGCTGTGCAACCCCCCACCAACAACACCACCCCTCCCTTCGGTTGGCAAAATGCCAGGAGAGAGCCTTCCTGCCAGCGTGGCACTGCTGACTCCATCTTTTCCTCTCTGCCTCTTCATTTCCTTCTTGCTCTGTTGTGCTCTCTTCCAATCACTGTTCCCTCTCCGGCTCTCTAGCCCAGTGCGCTTGATTTTCTCCATCTCCTGCTGGAGTTGTCTCTGTGTGCCTGGCAGTAGACTGGTTATGTGCACAGTTAATGCTGAATATACCTACTATAGGGCCTTATAGAAAGTGTACTGCCAACTTTTTTTTTATCTGACAAACCAATCATCTTCTCAGCTTCAAAGGTGAAGCAGCAGGGAGCAGAGAAGACACTGAAGGATTTTCCCTACTGTCCAATTACTATTTGAAGGTTTACTTTTAATAATATCCTCACGACACAGAGAGGTGTTGTTCTCTTTTGTGTGAAAATTGCATTTCATTTTTCAATCAGTCAAAGGCCTCATGTGCCCCATTTCCACAGTTCTTCAGATGCAGTGGAAATGGAAAGGTGTCTCAGGGTATTTTAAAAACAGAGAAACTTTTTCATCGTTCCAAGAACCCCTCTTTTTGCTGGGTCCGCACTGCAATGAACAAGGAATGATTGTGGTTCTTACAACGCTGTTTTGAGACTTTTTTAGCTCCTACATCAGAGACGGTGCTCTCTCAGCACAAGAGGAACCAATGAGTGATGTAATGTATGTTGACAAGTCAAACACAGCCAACGCAGCACCAGCAACCGACATTTTTTAAAAACCTGTTTGCCATTTAAACAACAGACAACACAAAACACAAACAACAGCTCGAAACAGACAAAATAGAGGAGAGCCCAGCAAATGGACTGACAGTGAAGTCCTGGCTTTAAGGAGCATAAATGTGACGATGGCAATACAACACGATTTTGATTGGTCAAAGGGAAAGTAATGTTGCTATACCAACCGCCGGCCGAGTTACAGTACATGACGTCAGTGTTTCTATTGGTGGTGCAAATGCAAACAGAGAAAAAGCCTTTGCAAGTATGTAGTTCTCTGGAGGAGCTCCGAAGTGGGCAGAACTGTTTGGTCCGAAAATGCCTTTAGTTACTAGTTTAGCTCCATTGTTCCAAGACCTTTTGGGTCAAAAAGCGTTACATTTTTTTCCGAGCAGCAACCTCTGGGGCAGAAAAGTAAAGCCAAGAAGGGAGTGTCATTATTGGTAGTTCTTTGAATTGCAATTGTATTGTCCCCCCTTAAATCTTCAGACACTCATGTTAAAATGCCCAACATTACAGCAGAAATAACAATCTGGTATTTTGGTCTTTAACTGGCTGCTAATTTCAGATATGTCAGATGCAGTATGACAAAAATACCAGGATGTTCTGCTACATGTGGTCCGATTTTGCAGTACGCAAGCCAGCATGCTTTTCTGGCTATTCTGACCCACAGTCCTCTGCACAGCGGACGATACATCACATCAACGGAGCCACAAACAGATGACCCCAAACTGTTTGACAGTTGTCAACAAATCGCAGTGATGGATGACAGCGCATTCAAGTAACTGATGTCAATACTACAAACAACAAAAGGACATAACTACAAAAATAATGACGGAGAACTGCAGATGTGATTTCACTGTCAAAAATATACTATATTATGAGACAGTAGTATGTCCGAGCTGTGTGCATATTGCATGCAACAGTACATACTTTTTAAGGGCAGCTGCAGTACCTGCTTAAAGTAAAAAGAAGAGGTATGCAATTCGGAGCACACCCTATGACTAAGAGCTACCCCTCGCTCCTCCACAGCTCCACCTTCTTGTTTAAATACGGTAACTTCTGGCTCCAATAACAAAACAAAACAAAATGCCGATGGTCAAAATGCCGAACCCGAGGCTTCAAAAGGGTGTCCACAAACCAAAGGCTGACGTCACAGTGGCTACGTCCATTATTTTATGCAGTCTATGGTTGTTCCTCAACCTTGAGGGAGTCTCCTGGATCATATGACAGTGCTTTAGGTTTATGTGGTGTACATTTATTTTCAAGTGCAAGTAAGAACAGAAAAAGGCACTTTATTTGCTACATTTATCCGAAACTGACCCAGAATCCAAAGGTGAACTGATTTTCTTAGGCACTATCTTTAGCTTCAAATTACTAATGGCTGCGTGCGCTACCTAAGTGCTCCTTAGAAGTTGCAGCTGACCTCTCTCCTTATGTGTTAAGACTTATCAGTAACTTTTTACTCAAAGAACCAGATATTTTCTAAAGCAGAGGTTCATTTTCTGCACTGTTGATTCAACAGGGTGAGTTTCATGTCCTTGCAAGCTTTTAAAGTGCTCACCAATATCTAATCTCATTTAGAAAATGTCTCTGACTTACAGTCAGGTCCATAATTATTTGGACAATGATACAGTTGTCATCATTTTGGCTCTGTACACCACCACAATGGGTTTTAAATGAAACAATGAATACCTGCTTAAAGTGCAGACTCTCAGCTTTCATTTAAGGCTTTTTTTTCAAAAATGTAGTATGAACCATGTAGGAATGACAACCATTTCTTCACACAGTCCCCCGACTTTAAGGGCTCATAAGTATTTGGACAAACTAACATAATCATCAATTAAACAGTCAGTTTTAATACTTGGTTGCAAATCCTTTACAGTCAATGACTGCCTGAAGTGTTGGACACATAGACATCATCAGATGCTGGGTTTCTTCCCTGGTGATGCTCTGCCAGCCCTTTACTGCAGCCGTCTGCACTTCCTGCTTGTGTTTTGGGTGTTTTGCCCTCAATTTTGGCTTCAGCAAGAGAAACGCATGCTCAATTGGATTCAGGTCAGATGATATGACTTGACCATTGCAGAACATTCCACTTTTTTGCCTGAAAAATGTCTTTGGTTGCTTTTGCAGTATGCTTCAGGTCAATGTCCAACTGCACTGTGAAGCATCGTCCAATGAGTTTTGAAGCATTTGGTTGAATCTGAGCAGATAATGTAGCCCCAAACACTTCAGCTTTCATCCTGCTGCTCTTGTCAGCAGTCACATCATCAATAAATACAAGAGAACCAGTTCCACTGGCAGCCATACATGGCCATGACATAACAGTACCTCCACCATGCTTCACTGATGAGGTGGTGTGCTTTGGATCATGAGCAGTTCCTTCCCTTCTTCCTTCTCTTGTCTTCCCATCATTCTGGTAGTTGATCTTTGTTTTATCTGTCCATAGTATGCTGTTCCACAACTGTACAGGCTTTTTAGATGGTTTTTGACAAACTCTAATCTGGCCTTCCATTTTTAAGGCTAACCAGTGGTTTGCATCTTGTGATTAACCCTCTGTATTTATTCTAGTGAAGTCTTGTCTTGCTGACAAGAGCAGCAGGATGAAAGCTGAAGTGTTTGGGGCACCATTATCTGCTCAGATTCAATTAAATGTTTCAAAACTCATTGGACGATGCTTCACAGTGCAGATGGACATTGACCTGAAGCATACTGCAAAAGCAACCAAAGACATTTTTAAGGCAAAGAAGTGGAATGTTCTGCAATGGCCAAGTCATATCATCTGACCTGAATCCAACTGAGTATGCGTTTCTCTTGCTGGAGCCAAAACTGAGGGCTAAACACCCAAAACACAAGCAGGAAGTGCAGACGGCTGCAGTAAAGGGCTGGCAGAGCATCACCAGGGAAGAAACCCAGCATCTGGTGATGCCTATGTGTCCAACACTTCAGGCAGTCATTGACTGTAAAGGATTTGCAACCAAGTATTAAAACTGACTGTTTAATTGATGATTATGTTAGTTTGTCCAAATACTTATGAGCCCTTAAAGTCGGGGGACTGTGTGAAGAAATAGTTGTAATTCCTACACGGTTCATACTACATTTTTGAAAAAAGCCTTAAATGAAAGCTGAGAGTCTGCACTTTAAGCAGGTATTCATTGTTTCATTTAAAACCCATTGTGGTGGTGTACAGAGCCAAAATGACGACAACTGTATCATTGTCCAAATAATTATGGACCTGACTGTATACTTCAGGGCACACAAAATGGTTCCTTCGTCATTGCTGTTCTATAGTAGGTGGACAATGATGCTGCCAACAACTCTTCCTAATAGGAGGAATAAACAATTGCTTTTTTTTTGCTGTTGTAAGAAGCAGTGGAGGAGAGAGCGCTCACTGTGTCTCAGACATCTTGTCCAGCAGGTTTTCAGCTACAGACTTCTCCTTCATCTCCATCGGGATGCGGTCGGTGGGATAGTGGCTCTCCACGTCGATGAGTTCCGCCTCGTTGGGCGTCATACCCATCATCCTCTTTTGCCTGTGTAAGATACAGCAGAAGGAAGCCAGGATCTGGCCAGGTTAGTACTGAACATAAAGGATTATTACAGCATACTGATTGATGCTTTCCCCATTCTGTGAGTGTACATATAATATATGACTATTCATCTACAATTCCAAGAAAACAAAAACCTTTATCATTCACCAAAGACAGTGGTCATCATCATGCTCTGACTGCGCTGTTTTTCAACAGTTCAGCCTGAAACCTCACATCAAATAATTTTCCTGTACATCTAAACTCAAGGCAGCTCATCTAAATGTTCATTGATCAGGTTAAAAACTAAGCAAAGCAAAAGAATCACATGAACAAAATGCTACTGAAAAGAGAAAGTGAGAATAATTAAGATGACCTTTTCTTGCGTTCATGCCTCTGCTGTTCACAGTGAAACCTTTCCAGCAAAGACAAATGTATATATGGCTTTAGCTGTGAAGGAGACTAAGGAACTGCACGGTACAGCACGGATCTACTCGACTCGCTCTTGTTTTTTTGGTTTTCCAGTTGTGGACAGTACCTGGTACTTTTTTGGTATCACATTCGCTGAGGTTCTTAGAGAACTGAGCTGATACAAGACAAAGAATAAAAGTGAAAATACTGCTACATGCTACATATGTACACTTTGCTGAACACTACACCTGATCATCCCGCCTACACTGAGAGGGCTAGATTTCATAGTTATAGTTTAGTTAGATCTTGTAAAATTGGTTGTGAAATAGAAATAGAAAATAGCTTCCTTTGGGATAAATGACTAATTTAAAGCAAGTTTCAAATCTCTTCAAGTTTATTTTAATTTTGCGTTGCGTGAACTGCAGCCAAATGCTGCCTTGTATATCGAAGACTGATCTCAAAACACACAATAGTATTGCAATATTTCTGTGTGGCGATATATCGTCACATAGTGCCAAGTATCTTTTTTTGATATATACAGTGCCCTCCAAAAGTATTGGAACAGTGAGGCCAATTCCTTTATTTCGGTTGTAGACTGAAAATATTTGGGTTTGACATCAAAAGATGAATATGCTTTTATTTCCAGGTATTTACATCTGGATCTGATACACAACTTAGAAGATAGCACCTTTTGTTTGAACCCACCCATTTTTCATGAGAGCAAAAGTATTGGAACATGTGACTGCCCAGGTGTCTCCCAATTACATTGATTATTCAAACAATAAATAGCACTGAATGTCTGAGCTCAGCTTCAGATTGGGTACGATAGGTTTTGCCTGTGCAGACTGCATTTAGAGGTGGAACCAACATGAAAACCAGAGAGCTGTCTATGGGTGAAAAAGAAGCAATTGTGAATCTGAGAGAAGATGGACAATCAATCAGAGCCATTGCACAAACATTGGCCATAGCCAGTACAACCATTTGGAATGTCCTGAAGAAGAAAGAAACCACTGGTGTACTAAGCAACAGACGTCGAACAGGTAGACCAAGGAAAACATCAGCAGTTGATGACAGAAACATTGTGAGAGCTGTAAAGAAAGACCCTAAAACAACTGTTAGTGACATCAGCAACAACCTCCAAAGGGCAGGAGTGAAGGTATCACAATCTACTGTTCGCAGAAGACTTCATGAACAAAAGTACAGAGGCTACACCAGAAGATGCAAACCACTCATTAGCAAGAAGAATAGGAAGGCCAGGCTGGAATTTGCCAAAAGGTACAGAGATGAGCCTCAAAAATTCTGGGAAAAAGTTTTATGGACTGATAAGAAAAAGATTAACTTTTTCCAAAGTGATGGTAAGGCGAAAGTTTGGAGAAAGAAAGGATCTGCTCATGATCCCAAACATACAAGCTCATCTGTGAAACACGGTGGAGGTAATGTCATGGCTTGGGCTTGCATGGCTTCTTCTGGGACGGACTCTTTCATCTTCATTGATGATGTAACACATGATGGCAGCAGCAAAATGAACTCAGAAGTCTACAGAAACATTTTGTCTGCTAATTTAAAGAAAGATCCAACCAAACTGATTGGGAGATCCTTCATCATGCAGCAAGATAACGACCCAAAACACACTGCCAAAACAACAAAGGAGTTCAACAGGGGCAAGAAGTGGAAGGTTTTAGACTGGCCAAGTCAGTCTCCAGACTTAAACCCAATAGAGCATGCATTTTACCTGCTGAAGAGGAGACTGAAGGGAGTAACCCTATTCTAATCTATTTTCAGTTTATATGTTCCAATACTTTTGCTCACCTAAAAATTTTGTGTTCCATTACAAATAATGCTATCTTCTAAGTTGTGTATCAGATCCAGATGTAAATACCTGGAAATAAAAGCTGAAATGTTGATCTCTTGTCTCATATTCATCTTTTGATGTCAAACCCAAATGTTTTCAGTCTACAACAAAAGTAAACGAATTGGACTCACTGTTCCAATACTTTTGGAGGGCACTGAAAATTATTAATATGACAAATGCAAGTTAAACTTTAGGTAGCCACTAGACTTCAGTCCAAAGATACATTTTGCTTCTCCTCCAAAAATGGCTGAAATGAGATGAACAAACTGAAAACTTTATTTTATTAGATAAAATAGATGTTGACAGAGTTTTCCTTTAGGGACATAATTTACGGTTTAAAAAGGGTGATAAATAGCAATATATCTCAACATATTTTTTCGCAGTACTCAGCATATCACAGCATATTTAAAATTGTAATAAAATTGTATTGTGACGTAAGTATCATGGATCCTCTGGTGATTCCCACCCGTGCAAAACAGCAAGCTGTAGTGTTGAGTTGTAATTAAAAGTGAGCTTCTAGCCTGCTGGTTAATTAATTTTACTGGACGTCTTTCAAAACTTAGAAACACTGACAAGAAGGAGCTTTAGAGAAATTAATAATAATAAATTTGACACATTTTCTCTTTAGGTTTGACTTCAGTATCTAATAAGCAGACCATCCTGAGTGCCATTACAGTACACTCATGTCGTGATCAGAGCTAACAGCATAAGGTCCCCCAACACACATCAACCAATACTCCCAAACCAGAGTATGGTGATCATGACTTGAGACGATTATTGTGGATTTACAGAGGAAATATTTAGGGTGGAGTCAAGACTAGTAGCTAGACAGCGCTAAAGAAATTTCTGGAAGCACACCTTATCATTCTTCTATTGTGACAAAAAATACTCTGGCTTATTTGAATTTTAGCCAATCACAATTATCTTGAGCAGCGATAAGCCAATGATGCAACGACATTGATCTTAAAAAATAGTGTCAGAGGGGAACTTGTTTTGTTAGAAGATTTGCAGCGGGGGAGGCGAGCACTGTTATTTAAAATGGCTAATGCTTCGCAAAAGACAATGCCGCAAAAAAGGAGATGCTTGTCAACTGTGTGATGCAACTTTTAGTGATTAAAAAAAGACAAAAATAATTTGATGATCTAAGGTGAAGCTTGACTAAACTGTAGCTCTGGAGGAGCTCACCGGACCATGGATGGTTTGCAAGCTGCATGTGGCTCTTGTAGAACATTATTGCGACCATATCACAGAAGCTTGTGTGAGGTGGAGCTAATTGGTACACTGGTAAAGTCACTGTCACTGGCGCATTCTGCTGCCAGAGTAAAAGATGTGGCAAAGCGACTCCAACTGGCTGTGTTTGAGAGTCCTGCAAAACGAAATCTGAACATTTCCTTGCTGCGTTCACGAGTTGTTTTACTGGTTTAATACCTTTACAACAATTGACTGAAACAACAAAGCAGGCACACCTTATTGCCTGATCAAAATTTTGTCATAACATGCCATAGTCAGCATGTAAGTTGTTAGCTCAGAGGTTGTTGTTTCCTGTAGTGAAGGGGACTTTGAAAACAGTAACACACAAATAGCAGAAGCACCGTCTACATCTGGTGAGTCAAACTAAAGGTTAATATTTCTGTTTAAAAGGAAAAACATGAAACTGTGCTTCTGTATCATCATATATGCAAAGTGCTGGATAAAATTTGGTTACCAAAAAAACAGACTATACAAGACTTGCTGAGTAGAGTTCAGGATGGGGATCCTCACCTGAAATCTTCCAGCTGTTTGGCCACTTCAGCAGCCTGCATGCTCTGAACCTCCTGAGCATAACGCTTTTGGGTGTCCTCATGGAGCAGATCTGGACGGGTTCGGTCTTCAGGCAAGAAGACAGGAGAGGTGAGTGAGTGAGAATTAGAGATACAGTGAAGAAGACACTGAGGTGTGTGTGTATGGCAAAGAGTATATGATGACTAAATACACTACAGGAGAAGAACTTACCCAATTCATAGGCTACATTAGATGGTAGTGCCACTCTGAGGATCTAAATGAAGGAACGAGAGACAAAATTGGTACAGAGACAGAAATAATATATTACTTCTCAATATATTCTAAATATAAGATGTTAAACATTTATAGCTTTGCTCCACACTCAGTTGCCAGTTTATTCAGTAAATCTTGCTAAAACTATTCATTCATTCATTCATTTTCTTATCCTCGTGAGGGTCACGGGGGCCTGGAGCCTATCCCAGCTGACATCGGGCAAGAGGCAGGGTACACCCTGGACAGGTCACCAGACTATAACAGGGCTGACACATAGAGACAGACAATCATTCACACTCACATTCACACCTACGGATAATTTAGAGTCACCAATTAACCTGCATGTCTTTGGACTGTGGGAGGAAGCCGGAGTAGCCAGAGAAAATCCACACTGACACAGGGAGAACATGCAGTCTTCACACAGAAGGGCTCCCCCAAACCTGGAGTTCAAACCCCCCACCCCTGGTCTCGACCAGGAACCCTCTTGCTAACCACTGCACCGTGTCGCCCTAGCTACTAGTAAGTCTAATGCAAAGCAGTCTAATACAACAGTCCTGCAATAAATCCTACTGACATGTAGATTATAATATTTAGCTTTTGTTGAAACTGTTTGACAGAGGTGTTGATTAAACTGTAGGGTCATTTTGGAGGCTGCAAGTGTTTCTATTATTTTGTCCATTCCTTTTAAATCAGTTCAGAGGCCTGTACTATGAAGCAGGATTTATAGACCTAACCTGCTTAGTTGCACTCTTTTTTTTTTTTTTTTTTTTTTTAAGTGTTTTATGTGACACATTCTGAGCAGGGATGCACGATATATATCAATAAATTAAATAAAATCAGCCGTTAATGGGACATTTTTATAATTATGCATTATTCCGATACTTAAAATTATAGCCGATAAAAAACGCTAATAACACAAAGCCAGACTGTTTTCATTGACGTAACAAGGGAAGCATTTACACACCTGACACAGTGGGTGGCGGTGCATGGACTTTTGAACTTGGTTTGTGAGCCACAATTAAACAACAACAACAACAACTGCAGCACGTTGTCTAGAGAGCAAAACATGTTGTGGTGTGGACTTCTTTCACAGTTCCAGAGGAAGATGACAGGATTGCGCTGAGGGTCTGATCTCCAATCTCTCTACATCCTGGCCTTTCTTACCCTCAGGTGTGCATACACTACAGGTTATACTCTTCTTTAAAAAAAAAATAAAAAAGGGAAATTAGTGGTTATCGTACCAATTATCAGCCACTAGAAGCGAGTAATTATCAGTTATCAGTATTGGTTGAAAAATGTTTTTTAATATTTGGACAATATTACCAGTGTTTACATCTTATATTCTATTGTAAGATTACAAACTATCGTTCACATTACACTGTGATGAATATGACTTTCTGCTGTCCCGGCAACAGAATATTCCCACATGTAATTTCTATCACGGTTTCATTTCATATTAAATTTAGTAGGCCGCTTCATTTATGGTTCTTATCATGTCACTCGTAACTAACAACACCCGCCTCTTTCACATGAACTCACACAGCTGGATAGGAAAACCCGGAGTTGACTGAACTAGCTGTCAACCAGACACCAGTTTTCCAGATGGCCAATGTTAGGGTTAGTAAGGCCAGATTGCCTAAAGATATCCTGGGTATATTGACCTGGCTTCGTAGTAAAGGCCTCAGGTAGGTTAAAAACAGAAGTACCTCTCTGTATAAAGTGATTCAGTTCAACAGCAACAAAAACTACATCCACCAAAATGATAATAATGTTGAAACAATGCCTCTCTAAAAGATTTGTTGCATTAGTTTCAGCCACACGCGCCTTATAAACTGGCAACAGAGGGTCTATTGTTTCTTCGTTATGTGTTACCTACATGGCTCGGGTGTTCACTTTGTCTTCTATGGTTTCTTTCTTGTTGCATATTGCTCTTGAGAAGCACTTTGTGACTTCATGAATAAATTTTACTTTCTTACAAAAAAAAATAGTGGTACCAAGTAATACGAATCTAAATAAAGTGTGCAGTAGCTACACATCACCACAAGGGGTCATTTAAACCTTAGAAATAAAACAACTAAGAGGAAAAGCCCATATTCCAAATGGGAGAAACACTGTCACATGAAAATAACCACACGGGCCAACGTCAAGTCAGAGGGTCTACAAAAGATGCAGAGGGTTTAAAAAAAAAGAGACGAGTCCTCCCAAAGGGCTTTCCCACGATCCTGACAGGAAGCTGTGGGGTCGGACGAAAGACAGACAGACAGTGGATAGACAGACAGGGAGCCAGAGCAGCACACACCAGCTGAGCTGACAGACGAGTGCAGTGCACGAGATGTGAGGAGGAAATATAGCAGAGGAGTGACAGAGGCCAGGTGTGCAGGGGAGGAGTGATGGCGAGTGACAGACAGAAAGTGAAGGCTGCAGCAGCACAGACTCAGAATAAAGGCAGAGCAAACAGAGACGAGCACTCACAAACAAATCATGTGCACACAATGTCTCTCCTGAGTTCAACTTATAGACTACAGCTGTGCCGTATATCAAATTCCTATTGATGTTACACAATGAAAAAAGAATATAATATCTGTGTTGCTTTGGCTGCTATGTTTATCTGAATTGATTTTTAGAGAATACACACCAGCACAGACTGAAGGAGCAAGAATTAGCGACTGACACAACTCTAAAGCTGAGAAACACAGAAATATAAAACACAAAGAAAGAGAGCCTGTAGGGAGACACTAGAGTCTCTCATTATATGACTACACTGGAAGAGTTTCAAACCACATAACTAAGCAAATGTAAATCTGATCACTTAATTCATGGAGCATCTGCAACATCTGCTATGGCAATATCAATTAGGTTATGAGTCCTAACAGAGCAATGGAGGTCCTTACAGATCAAAAAGTTGCACCCAACCTTAAAAAAGAGCCATTACTCCCCCTCAAAAAACAAAAACAGAGTTGAATATCCAAAGACACTCTAGGAAAATGGAATCTCATAGATCTCATCAGATAAACGACTTCCTTAAAGCAGCAGCACATCACTCCCTCTGTTAGAGTGCATATATGAAATGAAATACAGTAATAACGTTTATTTTTGGGGGCTAGATCATGCCTATCATACACTAGAGGACTTTTAAAACACTTAAACGTGACACCCTCTCACATCTAAAAACAACCTGAGTTCTTGGTCACATGTTTCAAAGACTGGGGATCTTTTGGGGTCACCATTTGCAAAACTACAACTAGATTCCTTTTGGGATTATTTCCCATTTTGCTCCTGGTGGAAAATATTACACCAAACTCCCTTTAAGAAATATGACATTTAAAACAAATCCTTCTGTGGCTGCAAAAAGACATAACTTAATAAAGGAAAACTACACCCATTTTCAAAATTCATACATACTATTCCTAGAGTCTAAAACAGTCCAAAAACATGAGTAAACATGAACAACTTTCTCCCAAATCCAAAAACTAGACAGCTGAAACTCAAATTGGTGATGTCATAAAGTACAGTGAGGAGCTGCTCCACAGACGATGACAATGAGTTCAATTTAAAACTGCAATAATCATGTTTAAAGTGAGAAATAATTCACTTCCGGGCAATATTCAAAAAATGTTTTGTGACAGAGAGGGGGGTTGTAAGTCTGTGTATTTCAGTGTTTGAGGTGGACGTGTGGAACGGGCTGCGTGATGAGTTGAAACAAAGCAGAAGTATGAATGAAGTTAAAAAACTATACAGAAAGATATCTGTGGCAGATATATAGATGAGGAAAGGTTGTGTTAGGGGAGTGCGTATTTATTTTGTGACACTGGGAGGTACTTGGGCTGTAAATAAACTGGGTTTATTACTTATTTTTTTACCCAGGTGGTAAATAGACTGGGGATAATCATACAGTAAATAAATTTGGGAATTTGTTGAAATAATATGAGTTAAAAGAAGAAATGTAAGAAAAATTATACTAAGACTATCTTTGTCTTAGTATAATTTTTGGTTCGAAATTAAGTCAGTCATTCATTCAACTGAGAAAGATGTTCTAGATGACACTGAGAGCATATGGGAACATTTTCTGTTTCAGGACTGAGAACACTACGACAGAATAAAGCTCATTTGAGTGTAAAAAAAGAAAACAAACATTCTGTGAGCTCATAAACTCAGTCTCCTATTTATTGTCTATGGAGCAGCTCCAGACTTTGTACCCTATTATATCACAAGTTTGAGACTCCTCTGGTTTCTGGCTTTGAGAGAGAGCAGCTCATGTTCACAAATATTGATTGAACTTTCTTTGGCCGTGAAAATAGCACACTGGAATTCTTAATTTAGATGGTGATACCCTTGAAGATAAAAGGTGTCATATGATGACTTGTCAGTTCTGCATCAATATAATCTATAAAGTGTATTTGCGTGCCTCAATGTGCTGCCAGCCTTCGTTGGTCAGCTGTTTTATTTCATATGGAGGAGACTGTGGGAATGAGTTTTAAAGAAAATAAGATTTCTCTCTAAAATAACTGCTAGTTCGTAGATCAGATACACATTGAAGTCAACGCCGACTCCAAAGCTCCACCAGTTTCTCCTCCTTTTCCACAGTACAAAAGCCTCCCCAGAGACCCCTCCATGTTTACTGTGTATGTGGTTTGCGACTTCCTGTTTAGTGCTGCACAGAGAGCTGCTATTGGCTGCTGAATTTAAGTATATGCATGAACCAAGACTAAAAACTTAGGATGATATTAAAGATGTTTGATTTTCTCGAGATAAGAAAAAGACATAAGATAGCTGAGTTTTATGACCACCTTACACAGTAGTGCACCAACTGAAGTGAAACTCTAACTATCCTAATCCGACAATGGAAATTTGTCTGCAACAGTGAAACTGGTTGAAAAGCCATTTGGTGTAAGGCTGGCATAAGTTTCATGAGAATAAAACACTGCATGTGCCCGCTTGTTATCAGCGTGATGTCCCTCCCTCCCCGGTCTCTGGCAAGGTCTTTTGTGTTCTGCTGATTTATCCGTTGTTTTACCTTGAGTTTACAATAAATTCTATCAGGTCGCTCATTATTTCAAGTCCGTTCACATCCACTCTTAACTGGCATACAGACAGAAGTCTTAGAGGAAATGCATTGTAGTGTGCTACTTACTGCACCCTTGTCCAGGAAAGTGTTGAAGAACTCCACAAATTGCTTCTTGGTCTCTTTGGCACTGAGGTTCTTAAAGAGGTCAGCATGGAGGTAACACAGCTGAGAGGAGACAGACAGACAGAAGATCAATGAGGGCAAACAAAATGTCAGCGGGCTTTTAATGTCCTGTGCGTTGCATTAATGCACCGTCTGTGTCGTTCTTACGTCCACAGTTATTAGTTAGTATTTGATATCACAAATCATATGATTTACTGGTATGTCATAATATATAAAAGTTAATTTCACCTGACCTCACAGTCAAGCTGCTGACATAAAATGAACAAAGTGCTGTTCATCACAACACAGAGACTAATGGGGTATTTAAATCATAATGACAATATCTTCCAAACAGTGGTCACTGTCAGCCATAATCACACACATACCTCAATCTCTGTCTTCTACGCCACTGATTCAACAACATTGAGAGAGTTTTTAAAGGAATACTTCATCTGCAAAATGACCATTAGTACATCAATTGATCATTGTGTTACCTTGAATTCCTACAGAAAATTTTGTGTTTCTCACATGCTATATAAACTATATCAAAATATCCATTCACAAACATTTACATCTTCTGGAACAGATGACATAATCCATATGACTTCAAAAAGAACTGGGAGAAAAACGGTGGAGAAAATGGCAAAAATTTATTTGGCCAACGAGGCAGACTCAACATGATTACTGTACGTACCATATGACACCTTACTTAAACTAGGAAAATTTGTCATGTTCATGTAAACTTCCCATGACCTCATATTTGACTTTTTTCCCTGTGTACTGCTCTTCCTTTTTTCTTTTTCTTTTCTTGTGTTCCTATACTTATTGAACTTAAAAATGTTCATAAATAAGAAGTATTAAAAAAACATCCATTTACAAACTCTCACACAACTCGCACAGTATAATCCAAGTCACATTAATCCAGTCGTACGCTCAGTACTTTCCAAAAACAAGGCATTTTCACTAAAACGTTGACAATAACACGTCCATACAAACAGTCTCACACATGCTCAGGCTTGCTCGCGCACACTACTTGCAGGTAAAAGTGTTTTTATGTTGTAACTTTTTAGCAAAACTGTGTTTCGGAAATACTGAGCATATGACTGGATAAATGAGACTCGGATTATACTGTACAAGTTGTGTGAGAGGTCGTAAACATGATTTTATTGTCTGTACTGAGGGTACGTGCAGAGTTTGGCAAGCGAGCAATTATGTATGCAGCCTCCTATATGTGAAATCTTCGGCAGAAGCACTAATTGGTTCCTCTTGGCCATTTCAAAACACGGTTGCAGGATTTTTGTACACAGTCTTCTATATGCCAATGTCAAGGTGTGTCTTAGTTGGTCTTTGTTATCAAGTGTAGTTGCTGTTTTTTGACTTTTTATGATTCATTTCTAGTATATATTAACATACTTTTTGACTTTTCTCTGTCATAATCTTATCTTGTGTTTTATATTGCTTGGTTTTAGAGCTTTACATCTTTATTCTGTATTTTTGTTTGTTAATGAAATTTATAAAAATGGCTGTTATGATATAGTTTTGCTGTTGTTAAATGCAGACCCATGTGACTTCAATTGATAAAGAATGCTGCCCTTTTTTGGATTCTCCGTTCACCACAAAAGGTGCCTGAGAAAAACATTTTATTCTCGAATTCAAGGCAACAGGCAATGAGAAATTCTAACACAAATGAGAGGGTGAAGTTTTCCCTTAAACTGTAACAAAATAAGATTTTCTACAAACACACCTGGTGTTCTGACACTCTTTTGTTCTTTACATGAACCCTGGTGAGGTTGAGGGGTTTAAAAAGGAGAGTGTTTCATGACTGTGGGAGGTGAAACAGTACCTGGGTGGGTCACAGTGACTGCATGCAGAACAAAGGGGAAAGGACAGGCATGCTTTATATCAGCACTGACACACATGTAGTCAGACACACACACACACACACACACACACACACACGAGGCGAGGTCTCCAAACGTGCAATGTGAATCCACACTTCAGTAAAAACTCACATATTTGCTGTTTCATGTGTTTCATACAAACTGTGCCTGCTGTGTTATCAAATAAAATCTATTAGGTACAATTCTGACTCTCTGTGTTTATAGTGGCATCAAATCAAGTGCTCTCTATTCACAGGTAAACCATCTGTCTCTTGTGTGTTTTGAGGATGCTGGGATTACTTCAGTGTCCCAAACTTGCTTGGCTGCAGGCAAAGCTTTTTCGCTACACAGAAAACCTGCAATGCAACATTAACTACTTGTTCTACTTTTAGCTGCTTTAGTTCATATGACTGGACGAGTGTTTCTTTAGAGCCTGTCTGACTTGTTTATCCAGATGGACTGTGTTGACCAGTGACGCTGCCAAACATCTCAGTTTGTGAATAAAAAGTTACCACAACCAAAACAACAGAAACAAGACCCAGGCTGTAATATTAAAAAGAAATGTTCTTCTATGTTGAAATGAAATATAATTATATTCTATTACATAAGTGGATGAGCAATCATCAACAATATAATAAACGAGCAAATTAATCTCAATCATTATTTTAGTCACAATCTTGTAGTTCTTTTAACTTCCCTGTGAGGGGGCACAGGTGTGGCCCCAAAATTCCAACCGGGGACTTTGCACATGTCATACCTGCCATACCTCTCGTCTCTCTGTCTCCATCCTCATTTCCTTTCTGTATCTTTAAAAACAACAACTTCCTTGTGGATTCATGACCTGTTTCACATATTAAATCAAACGCCAATGTGATGCGCCAGGTCAATATGAGCAAAAACTGTAAACTAAATACAGTACAGGCCAAAAGTTTGGACACACCTTCTCATTCAATGCATTTTCTTTATTTTCATGACTATTTACATTGTAGATTCTCACTGAAGGCATCAAAACTATGAATGAACACATGTGGAGTTATGTACTTAACAAAAAAAGGTGAAATAACTGAAAACATGTTTTATATTCTAGTTTCTTCAAAATAGCCACCCTTTGCTCTGATTACTGCTTTGCACACTCTTGGCATTCTCTCCATGAGCTTCAAGAGGTAGTCACCTGAAATGGTTTCCACTTCACAGGTGTGCCTTATCAGGGTTAATTAGTGGGATTTCTTGCTTTATCAATGGGGTTGGGACCATCAGTTGTGTTGTGCAGAAGTCAGGTTAATACACAGCCGACAGCCCTATTGGACAACTGTTAAAATTCATATTATGGCAAGAACCAATCAGCTAACTAAAGAAAAACGAGTGGCCATCATTACTTTAAGAAATGAAGGTCAGTCAGTCCGGAAAATTGCAAAAACTTTAAATGTGTCCCCAAGTGGAGTCGCAAAAACCATCAAGCACTACAATGAAACTGGCACACATGAGGACCGACCCAGGAAAGGAAGACCAAGAGTCACCTCTGCTTCTGAGGATAAGTTCATCCGAGTCACCAGCCTCAGAAATCGCAAGTTAACAGCAGCTCAGATCAGAGACCAGATGAATGCCACACAGAGTTCTAGCAGCAGACCCATCTCTAGAACAACTGTTAAGAGGAGACTGCGCGAATCAGGCCTTCATGGTCAAATAGCTGCTAGGAAACCACTGCTAAGGAGAGGCAACAAGCAGAAGAGATTTGTTTGGGCCAAGAAACACAAGGAATGGACATTAGACCAGTGGAAATCTGTGCTTTGGTCTGATGAGTCCAAATTTGAGATCTTTGGTTCCAACCGCCGTGTCTTTGTGAGACGCAGAAAAGGTGAACGGATGGATTCCACATGCCTGGTTCCCACTGTGAAGCATGGAGGAGGAGGTGTGATGGTGTGGGGGTGTTTTGCTGGTGACACTGTTGGGGATTTATTCAAAATTGAAGGCACACTGAACCAGCATGGCTACCACAGCATCCTGCAGCGACATGCCATCCCATCCGGTTTGCGTTTAGTTGGACGATCATTTATTTTTCAACAGGCTGTGTAAGGGCTATTTGACCAAGAAGGAGAGTGATGGAGTGCTGCGGCAGATGACCTGGCCTCCACAGTCACCGGACCTGAACCCAATCGAGATGGTTTGGGGTGAGCTGGACCGCAGAGTGAAGGCAAAGGGGCCAACAAGTGCTAAACACCTCTGGGAACTCCTTCAAGACTGTTGGAAAACCATTTCAGGTGACTACCTCTTGAAGCTCATGGAGAGAATGCCAAGAGTGTGCAAAGCAGTAATCAGAGCAAAGGGTGGCTATTTTGAAGAAACTAGAATATAAAACATGTTTTCAGTTATTTCACCTTTTTTTGTTAAGTACATAACTCCACATGTGTTCATTCATAGTTTTGATGCCTTCAGTGAGAATCGACAATGTAAATAGTCATGAAAATAAAGAAAATGCATTGAATGAGAAGGTGTGTCCAAACTTTTGGCCTGTACTGTATGTGTGCGATTAGTCGACTAGTCAGTTGCAACCCTTGTTAGTTGGCACCAGAAATACTGGCTGGTTAAACTTAAGCCCCGTTTCCACTGTGAAAAGTTTTGGATGGTACCAATGGAACCGTTCCGTACCGTCCCCATTTTTGGTCCCCCCTCTGTTGGGGTACCTAGCACACAGATCTGGTACTAAAAGGTGGAGCTGTGAACACTGCAGTCTGTTGATTGGTCAATAGCAGACGGTCACTCTGCTCAGGGCTGAGCTGTGGCTGGTTTTGAGGCTCATGTAACCACTGTTCAAACCATTAGTCTTTATATGACACACACTTTTAGTAATGAGTGGATCTTCAAGCGTTTATATGTATATATTAATTTTGACTGGGTTAGGTGAACTGCATATATTCTAATCCTCACTCAGAGAATAAAAAGCAGCATGGAGCATCATTCCTGTGGGCTCCAGCAACACTAAACCCCCGAATTTGCCTTAGAAAAACTAAAAGCACAAATCCACTATTTTTAAATATCCCATGGAGAGAGACTCTCACTGCAGCCTGTTTTATTTTGTTCTGAAAATGTCAGCATGTAGCCTCGTTCTGTGGACGATAAACGAGGGGCAGACTTCCCTCTGTGTCACCGATAATGAGGAAATACAGTGAGTGCTGGACGGAGCAGTGAGTGACAACAACCCCACCCACATGATAGAGTTCTGTTGGCAGTGGAAACACTAGGGTCTAGGTACCATGTCTGAAGGGTAACTTTTGGTTCCAAAGGTACTATACCAAAAGTGTTTGGTGGAAACAGGGCTTAATTGTTCAATTATTATAACATTCACTCAATAAAAATACTATTGTAATAATCAGGCTAATTTCCTAAGATACCGTAAAACTTCAATTAAAAGTCTCATCCCAATTAAAAGCACAGTTCCTTTTACTAGCCTGGTGTAGTTACACATTTTGACAAATAAATGGCTGTCTCAATTAGACGCCTGGTCTGGTTGCCAAGCAGATTATTTTCTATAGAAGTTCTTTGGATGTATAGAAGCGGGTTGTTGGCTACCTCAAATTATGTGTCCATTCCTCAATTACCCTGCAAGTTATTCATATTCCTTTAGTCCCTAAGGGTCTTCAGATCAAAAGAATCAAATGCCCGATGCCGTAATCCGATGCACTGTCTGTCTATCAAAGCCTAATTTTTTATACAAGTAATAGTCATACTGGTATATTCATAAGTTTTACGTCACATTTTCCAGAAGAATATTGTTTTGACTAAATGTTATTTGCTAACTTTTATTCAGCGAGTTGTCATCATGTTTTGTAGGATAATGTACAATGTTCATAATGCATGGTGCAAAGTGCAAATTATTTAGATTTAAGATTTAATTCAGGAAAAAAAAAGGGATTAACAATTTTATATACTTTATTATATACGCAATATTTTTTCAGACAATGTTTTAAGTTATAGATTAAATTGTGCATAATTCTGACTGCTTATTGAGCGTTATCTTACTTTTAGACTAGTCGACTTGTCTAAGTTTAAACTTCTGTTTTTAACATCAGGAAAATTAGTCCTTAGAAGCATTCCTATTGTATACTAATACTGAACTTACTAAATGTATCAGGCATCTTGCTGTCTAAACACATATATAATACAGCTGTAACTAATAATCACTTTTGTACATGAAAAGTCAAAAAGAATCCATATGGGCATTGGATCAAGGACGTTATGTATCAGTTACAATTGGAGAAAATCTGTTGTTTGATTAAAGGATCTACTGTACGTTTTTCTGCCACCTGGCAACCAGTTTTTACTTAAGTGGGAAATATCGAAGCTGAAAAATTTTAATGAAACATGCTATACTCCCCCACTTATGTCACACAAGTTAAATAAATTGTCATCATTTTTCCACCTTTTTTCCTTCTCTATTAGATTAGATAGATTAGGTGTTGTTTCAGTAGTAGTATACAAACAGGCACACACACTCTGATTTACACACACTGCAACACCGTGTCTACGCAGACTGTGTAGTGAAAGCAACCTTTGAGCCAAACAGACACTTATGTCCTGTGCAGGCAGCTGTATTGATTAAAACAGGCACAAATCTGTCCCATCAGACGTGTATGAGATGGATGACTGAAAAACGTGGCTGAAACACATCCTGTGTAGACAGGACGTTGCATTATGGGAGTACTAGTTCTCACCAGGGGGGCCGGGTCAAACTGTAGGATGACATGTTGCAGGAACACCAGCAGGTGGGTCGGGCGATCCTTCAGCAGGTCTATGTTATTGAAGTATGGGCACTGCTCATCTGGCACCTGAGAGGGAGAAAACAAACAGAGCAAAGTGAAATAAGAGAATATGATTAAATTACACTCAGCTGCTTTTGTCTGTGCCGCCCTTTTATTCACTCACATCATTCAGATCATTCTCGAAATCCTCATCCTCAGCGCCGATGATGCTCATGGCTGGGTTAGAGCACTGAGCCCCAAACACGCCCTGCTATGGAGAGACAGAGAGAGGGAGAGAAAGGGGAAGAAAACAAGACAATTAGCAAACATTATGGGCTATACTTTGAACCGGTAGGCTTCCTCTTTGACGCCCTGAGCCCCCACTGAGCAGAGCCAGACATAAAGACAGTGAACTCTCCCAGTGAGAGATCACATCAAGCGGAAAGCAGGAAAACTTCCCAGCATCCAATCACACCTCATTAACAGAGAGACAGAGACCCGATGTGTGTGAAGGTGTGCGGTCTGATGAGGACGCTCTTGGAAATCACTGACAAAGCGTGCAATATTTACAGTGTTTACTTGTTTAGTAAAACTTATTCTCTCCTGACTTAAACCACGAGGCTACGGAGTACAGTCTTAGGGCTGCTGTGAAGCTGCACCTACTGAGGACAACACAAAACTTTATCTTGGGTGCATCAGTACAATGGACAACCAAGAAAGGACGGCAGAGGAGATGCAAAAAAATGTCAATTTATTTAGGACGTCCATACAAAAAGAGAGGTGCTCAAAGTGCAAAAAATAATTTTAAAAAAGTGAATAATTTTTATTATTTGAAAAAAAAAGTGAATAAGATTTAATTCACTTTTTTTTAAATTATTTTTTGTTTTATTATTTTTTGTGGCTGCTCAGCTAGGTTGCATTGGTGTGCGGGTATCTCCTGCTGCTCGTGAGTAACGGACACTGATAATGAGTGATAATGAACTGATAATAAGCGATTAAAAATATATTTTTTTAACTGAATAATTTAATATTTTATTAAGATGGGTCCCCCCCAGGCAAAACTAAAACATTTACTTTAGGTGTTGAAATCAAGGGGGAATAATTCAGTGTTAAACATGCATTGCAAAAAAAAAAACATCTTCGATTTGAACTTTGTTTTAAGTTTGGCCAAATTTTGCCTCTGGAAATGTTTTTTTTTTTTGGTTTTTCAGAGCAGTGTGGAGTTCAGTAATACACTCAGAGGAAAACGCTCCCCAAACTGCCATGACGTAAACCCTCCAGGTCTAAAAATGTAACTAAGCTGATCTGAAATTAAAGGTTTATGCCAATCCTTGCCTTTGAAATCCATGAATGGGAAAAAAATGCATCGGAACGGGTGACCAATTTACCCCCACCTTTTACACCCCGCACCACTTCCCCTGCACGCATACACGCCCAAAACACACAAACAACACATAGCTCTTGTATTCAGTCCTCTGAAGGCCGCAGACCCAGCGCCGCTACCAGGGAACACCCAAACACAAACACACATCAAAAAGCCAACACTGTACAACATTTACCATTGTCCAGTGCTAGGTGAGCAGAGAGGGCAGAGTATGAGTGCGGAGCTGTGAAGAGGTGTGAGGTATGAGTCAAAGTAATGAATGGAAAAAGTGACTCCAACTGTTTCTGAAGGAAAATATGCCTCGAGAAACTGTTAGAGAGGAGCATTTTTGTTTTGTTGAGTTATTTTATTGATTGAGAGTTATGAATATTGTTCCATAACTCAACACATCCAAGTTTCATGTCCATTTTGTAGCACCTGAAGTTCATAATTCAGCACAGGGTTGGGTGATATCACAACACAAACCTTCATGTAACCTGTTATCTTCAAATTGTGACCTTTCACAGTATTTCTAGTGATCAAGTATTTCCTGTAAAGGCCCCAAAAATCTGGAATAATCTGCATGATAAGAGTTTGTGACCTCATTATTTGCTAAATCATATCTGAGCCTGATTTTAGTTCAGTTTTATATTGTCATTTTTAATCACTGCGGTTTTATTCTTGTTTTATGTATTCATTGCACCGTTGCTGCTGTCGGTTTTGGCCTTTTGTAACTTTCATTTAGAAAAATGCTCTACAATAAAATGTGTTGTTTAGGGATGTGGCGACTGTAAAATTCTGGGCTGATACCGATGTTTTAAAAGAAAGTACTGAACTGTTTGAAAATCATTTAGTACTTTATTACACTTCCTTTGAATAAGCACAAATTCAATCGCACACATTCATGAAAAAACCTTTTGTATTGCTGTGAAACATCAACAAATTTCTCCTTAAATCAGCTGTACTTATTCACATTTCTTGCCAAAAATGTCATTTTACAAGACAACATTTGAACACATCATGAGAGCATTTTAATTTACCTTTACCAAAACCTCAGTTTTTACTAAAAAGAACTTGAATGCATCACAATGTAACTCAATGCAGCCTCCTTTAGCAGTTAGTTCTGCTAACTGCTAACGTTAACAAGCTCTCCTGCTGCATGGATGTGCTACATACAATGCAGCATTATCTGTAAAACAACATGCTGACAGTGAGTTTCCTGCATCCCTTCTCCCCAAAATTATCCTGGGGAAGATCTTTGTTCATCCCAAACATGTTTTCTATTGTCCCCGGGATGACGGGATGCTCTTGGTCTCAAGCCCTACTGTTTAGTCTGCGCAAAACTGATGTGACATAATAGAAAAACATCAGCCACTGCCATCCGTAAATGTCATCTTATTTACCAATAAACCATGGCAGGCAATAAGGAGAATATCTGTTGATACCGATATGCAACCAATAAACTGGTGCATCCAAAATATTATTACTATCTATGTACACAAAAACAATAAAGATTTGTCAGCTGTCAGAGATTTTGTCATATCATTTCTACTGTGACAGATAAACCTTGAATATTTTTGGTTATATGAGGCAAATGTGAAAAGCTGTATGGCAAAACTGGATTCACGAGATAACTCACAAAATAACTGGATTTGTCAGACTTTCCTGCGTGGCTAGATTAAAAATTTAATTCTAATTTAATATTACCTTATCTTTTTAAAGCACTGCATTTAGATAATTACCAATATTATGACACAAAATTATATATACTAGAACAAAAATTTCAAAATGCTCTATTAGCATGAATGTCAGATAAATGATATCACCAAAGCCTCACGAATAATTCAATTTTATAATGAAACCAGAGAAAAAGAGGTAAATATATAAAAGAACAAAAAATGGTAGAAAACTAACAAGCATGTTGCATGTGTGTGCTTGTCTCGGCCATTCGCTGTCCGTCAAGTTGTGTTGAAACACACTGGGCAGCAAGACACGCCCTGCCTCCTTCTCCTGGGAGTATATTTAATTTTGAGAGGTCGTTAAACTCCATGAAATCTGAAAATACAGAGTTGAACTTCTTAAAATAAACGTTCCGTATTTCGCTGAATGTTTTACAATGTAGGAGGAAGTGCAGCTCTGTCTCTATTAATATCACTTTCTTTCTAAGTATCTCTAAAAGGCTCATGTCATCCATGTGTTATATGATCTCTGTGTGTGTTTCCCAAATTAATAATGTAGACAGACTTAATAAGAAATTATTCTGATTGGATATGCAGCATTAATAATGGTTTCAGATGTGTTGATTGATTTAAATAGAAACTGAGTCAACTGAAGCATGTTACTGTACATACATGTTCACAGAGCATGTTGGGTTATATGTGTGAATGTGTGATTATACGCTGGTTGTTGAAGTGTTATCAAGAAGGAACTGAAAAATCACTTAGTGGTGGAGTTTATACAGGAAATGTAAGTGTGTACACGACCATGATTCAATTCATGGCCTGAACACAGTGTTTGTGTACAGTGGCGGCCGGGAGAGCTGACAAATGCTTTGAGGTCAAGGTGAGTTCTTGTAAAGAGAGAAACAGAAAAAGAAAGGGCGAAACTGAGAGATACACAGACAGACAGAGAATGTGTTCATTCATGGTCGTATCCAGTGGGCTGCGGGTTGAGAAAGGCCAGTGTTGGAGCAACATGCGTGGGAGGGGTTAGCCAAACAGAGAGTCACAGGCCTGTCAGGGCCATGGACGCACATCTGCATGGACACTCAGACATAAACACACACCGACACACCAACACAGAGGGACACACATCCTCTTTTTCACACAAGCACCCAGCCACCGAACTCTTTAACAAAACAAAACCAACACCACTTCACCAAGGCAAACACAGACGTATATCACGATGACAACAACAGCTATGACTGACGAGTAAAAAAAGCAGATCTAGAGGTTTCCTGGTGGAAAGATGAGATGCGTTCACTGCTACAGTCTGAATGACTGGTACAACTTTTACCTGAGAAGGAACCAGACATCACGTACAGTATTTAATTTCCACGTTTTGGTCGACATAACTTCATTAAAAGAAATTCAACTGTCTATTTAATTCGTCAGTTGGCACCTATGCAGAATTTTCATAACTCTGGTTACTCTGTGTATCTGTGTGGACGTGTAAAATGGAGCGGATGACGTCATCTCCTTAATTCGAGCATGTCCATTGTTGCTTCGTGTAATGAACTTCGGCCAAAAACAACAATGGCAGACTACTGGAATGTTTACCGTTGGCACTGCTTGGTGTCATGGTTACTTTACACTTCAGCTAAGTTGTCTATTGCTGCACTCGTATCAGTTAGTGAGCACCTTTATTCTTATATCAGAGGAGAATCAACAGTGATGAGGTCTCCAATAGGTGTTTAGAAAACAGAGCACTGGCCTGTTTACACCCTTACTTTCGCAGTGAGGAGGGATTGCAGTAGACGTTCTATGCCAGTGAGCATCTGAAGTTGTTATTGTGTTCCAGCCTGGACAGAGATGTTTCATGTAGAAAGATTTTTTTCTTTTTTTTTTTTTTTTTAAAAATGGGGGAGCAGAGATAATCTGTTTTTAAAAAATATTTGTACATGTGTAGACAGGTCCTTAATCCGCAGAGAAAGTCAGCATGGGTTTTCTCCAGGTACTCCACCAGGCAGGTTAATTGGTGACTCTAAATTGGCCGTAGGTGTGAATGTGAGCATGAATGGTTGTCTGTCTCTATGTGTCAGGCCTGTGATAGTCTGGCGACCTGTCCAGGGTGTACCCTGCATCTTGCCCAATGTCAGCTGGGATAGGCTCCACCCCCATGTGACCCCTAACAGGATAAGTGGTTACAGAAAATGAATGCCTAGTTTGACAGTTTGACCGCAGTTCACTAGCAGTGACTGACATGACTGACAGCTGCGTTAGAGACTTCTCGGCTCTGATTTGTTGCTTTTGTTCAGCCGCGATGAATTCTAGTAAATCAGAAGCCATTTGAAGCACTTAAGAGGAACATGTTTTTTTTAAGCAGACTATGGCCTAATCGCAAAACACAACTGAAGCGCTGTCAAGAGCATGATAACTGTAACACTAAAGCCACGCAAAAGAAGAAGACAAAGGTGTTGGCCAATCAGAAGCCTGAAAAAAAGCCATTACCAGAAGGCTTCCTGGAACAGTGACCTCAGTAACGCATGCTGACACCTCTGTTCCTTAATATAGCAGAAGAGTAACTGTACATGTGTTATGTCACCTCACAGCAAGAGGGTTCCTCATTCGAACCTGGGGTGGGAGAGCCCCTCTGTGCGGAGTCTGCATTTGTCAGCGTGGGTTTTCTCCAGGTACTCCAGCTTACTCCGGTGACTCTGAATTGCCCGTAGGTGTGAATGTGAGCATGAATGGTTGTCCGTCGCTATGTGTCAGCCCTGCAATAGTCTGGTGACCTGTCCAGGGTGTATCGGCACACTTATCTCTTGGGTGTCTCGCCCAACGTCAGCTGGAATAGGCTCCATTCCCCCCCGTGACCCCTAACAGGATAGATGATCTGTCTCATACACTGTCTGGATATAGTGACAGTTTAAGATACGGTTATTTTTTTTATGTAAGTTACCGACTGTACCTTTGACCGTTAAACCTTAATTAAGATGCTTGTAGAACTTTGGGAAAGCACTGCGACTATGTTGCCCTCATGATCGCAGCATTTCAGCCTCCTCATTACAGGAGATACTGAAGCCGATCCCTTGTTACTGTCAAGTCTTGGTTGATATCTGAGTTACTGTAAGACATGTTCATACTCCGGGAGATAAATTGGAACAGTCAGGAGGGGACGGCAATCGTGGTTACACAGAGGGAAGTAGGGAAGGTCAACTCTGCTCTGCTTAACAGAGCACAAGAAGTATAGTGAGGGGCAGGAGCCTCCTCTGCCCAGACGGAGCCAAGTGGTACATTCCAGCATATGGCACAGTTCAGACAACAGATGGAGACAGTCTGTGATCTTCAACAGTAACCAGACCCTCTTCCCTTCACCTCCATTAGCACATGATAGCTGGCATAAGCTCCAAACTGCGAGGGTCCTTCCTGTCTGATACAGACGTGGCCGCGTTCGAGAGGAAAAGACCACAGGCATACGGTATTTGAACAGAGTGTCCCAGAGGTGCCGAGATCAGCTCCAGTGCTCCTGAGAGTCGGCAGCTGCCCCCCCCCACCCGGCCCTCCCCTCCCTCCCATCACATTCCAGCACTAACTAAGTGTCAGGTGGCATCAATCCAATGATAGCCATCAAGCGTACGTGCCTTTGTGTGCGTGTGTGTGTGTGTGTGCGTGTGTGTGGGGTAAGACTGAGCACGTATGTGGGAGGGGGCCATTCCTATGTGATTGTGGGGAGCTGCTGGTGAACGTGTGTGTGTGTGTATGGGTGTGTGTGCATGTGTTATATGACAACTGGTCTTTACAACAGCATTCCTCTGCATCTCTGACCAGGCCGAACTCTAATACTGTACAGAGGCAGGAGAAAAAAAAAACAGCACCTGTTTCATCAGACCTCTTGAATATTTAGACAGAGTAGCAGCACAGTTTAGCATTTCATATTTCCACCAGGTCACTAAGAGGTTACGCTGCGGCCTAATAATAGCTAAGTCTTTGTTACATCACATCTTATGCAAACCCCACGTCCATTGTGAAACCGCTGAAACAATTAGCTGTTTTAGTTAAACCCCTCAGACCGAGAAGAGAGGAGGAGGCAAGTTGTTGTGACCTCACCCCAAAGTGGGCATCTTCAGCGTCCATGCTGCAACCGCAGGGGCTCAGACCTGTCAATCAAGCTCCTGCAATAACATGACGGTGGCTGTCAGAGGAGAGTGTGATACGTTTAGTACAGCAGGATTATGACCAGGTCAAATGATACAGTGTTTTACATGTGTCCATATCATGTTTTCCAGAAGCAACCAGAGGAAAAAGTTCATCATTAAGAGGATTTCCCAAAAGTCTTTTTCTTTGTTTACCCTCACAGATGAAGATATCATTAACAATGACATTAAAACAGACAAATCATTAAAGAGAGGTGAAAAAACCAGTATACATTTATACAACAGTTCATACATCACTCCACTTTACAGGTGTTGTGAACCATTAATTATGTTACCGTTAATTAGCCTGGTGGTCATAACAAACCTTGCACCACAAAGATGAACAGATTTCCATAAATAACATTTGAGTTAAATGATCAGTGGTCATCAGAAGAGGACGAGGACACAGAGAGAAGCCTGGATACTTCACTGCAAATCTCCAGGTGTGCTCATGAAACATCAGCTGATGTCGCAACACACTGTCTGATGAAGCTGTTATCTTATCAAAATCACAACACAGCAACTGTCAACGGACTCCTATTTCACTGGGTGCACAATAAACAAAAACCTAAAAAGTAACTGGCCCACGGTAACACGTAGAGATACACAAAGTAGGAACTATTTGTGTGGGCAGAGCTAAATGAATTAGTGCACAAACAAACAAATTGTAATCTGTTGTCACTCATTATTCTTGTACAAATAGGCCAATATATTGTAAACTTATTTTTTTAAAGGGAAACTTAAACGTCACCTCCTGCTTATATGTTTTAAGATGCATGAAAATACTCTGCTTTGAATACTGATTTGTGTGTGACATTGATTTTCTCACAAAAAAGCTTTAAAAAAATTATGTAGTTAGTTTAAGATTGTTACAATCACATCTTTTCCTTCTAGCTCACTGAAAAATACAGAATCTATACAATCTAAATATGCAAATAATTTTCTTTTTAACTGCCGATTGCAATACATCTCCTACCCAGGGGCCACCTGTGACCACACCCATGAGTGATGCTGGGTGTAGAGGTCAAATCGGCCATAACCTGTCAACCACAGAGGGCAGTGACACACTGCCGACACATGCCAGATAACTACAGTTCCTTGTGTGGCAAACTGACGCAGGCTGCAAGAGCAAATCAATCCCCACAGACCCCCTCGTTCAAATGCCCAACTTTACAGCAGAAATAAACATGTTTACAATATTCTTTATCTTTATGGCTAATTTCAACAGTCGTGACAACTGCAAGGGTGAATTTATATATAACTTACTTGTTTACATTTTAGTAAGGCTTCAAGTACGCATAGTTAGGTGCGTGGCCACTTTGAGTGACAGACTGTCTGTGAGGCATCACCACAGTCTCAATCAAACATGGTCAACCTCTGGCTCCAAAAATACAAGATGGCGATGACCAAAATGTCAAAGACGAGGCTTTCAAATGGGAATCCACAGACCAATGGTTGACGTCACAGTGGCTGTGTCCATGTTTTTATACAGTTTGTGATTTTAAGTTACTCTTTAATAGCAAAACTTCTTAAAGGGATAGTGCACCCAAAAATGAAAATTGAGCCATTATCTACTCACCCATATGCTGAGGGAGGCCCAGGTGACATTTTAGAGTCCTCACAACACTTGTGGAGATTCAAGGGGAGAGGGGGTAGCAACACAACTCCACCTAATGGAGGCTTACGGCGCCCCAGATTCAAGCGTCCAAAAACACTACTCCTTTCCCATTGCCATGGTTTCCTCTGATGGATAATGCTCCTGGTACAGCTCTGATGTGTTGCTGTATTTGCCTTGCAACGTATTCCAATCTGTTTTCGGCTGCCTTGACCGCCTTATACCCATACGCCCATGGAACGTGAATTATCATGTGATATGCATTTACAGCCGCGTTTGTATGGATGGAGAATAATTCTGAAATGGTGTTGTTTGGAAAAACGTTGGTGCACAGAGAGGCAGTCAGAGCTACAGGCTACAATGAGGCTAAAAACAGAGTTAAAATGATGTTTTTCCAAACAACTTTTTATGTCGGGTTTCTGGACACTTAGATCACTACGGACGAGCAGTATGGAGATATCTTGTGGTTTCAAATATGTGTTTTTGGACATTTGAATCTGGGTCGCCGTAAGCCCCCATTAGGTGGAGTTTTGTTGCTACCCCCTCTCCCCTTGGATCTCCACAAGTGTTGTGAGGACTCTAAAACTTCACCTGAGCCTCCATCGGCATATGGGTGAGTAGATAATGGCTGAATTTCCATTTTTGGGTGCACTATCCCTTTAAAACAGTAATACAAAAATAGACACTGTGACGGATATCACCACTGTCCTCTGTCTCCTCTCTAGGGATCCAGTCCCGGGACACTGAGGCACATACACTCTACTTATTTTTGTTTTAAAACGGCAAGCATTTTAGCACCATTTCAGAATTATTCTCCATCCATACAAACGCGGCTGTAAATGCATATCACATGATAATTCACGTTCCATGGGCGTATGGGTATAAGGCGGTCAAGGCAGCCGAAAACAGATTGGAATACGTTGCAAGGCAAATACAGCAACACATCAGAGCTGTACCAGGAGCATTATCCATCAGAGGAAACCATGGCAATGGGAAAGGAGTACCCACACGAGAAAGATGACATCACAAAAGACGTAGCTATAATGGTTTGGCTCTACATATCAGGACTGCTAAGACCAATCAGGAAGTGAATGCCTGCGTCATCATTTTTTAAAGCCTCCGTTCCTGCCCCTCCAGACTGAAACACAACCCCGGAGTTTTCAAACTAAAACAGGGTCAGCAGCGTTTTCAAAAGTTATAGTGCGGATGTAGCCTAAAATGAATGTGCTGAAAACAACACACCCATTCCAGCAACAAAAACGAATGCCATTGGTCTAATCTAAAAGATGCTGTGATCACACAACAATTGACAGTGGCTTCATATTGGACTCAGCAGTAGGTCAATAGTAACCTGATTACATGTGTTTTTAAAAGGTCAGCCACGTAGAGCATAAAAGTGACAATTATTTAAACTTTAAGTGCAGCCATGAGATGTAAAAATCAAGATTCACTGACAATGCTCTCTCTAAATGAAAAGTCAGTCGAGGTAGCTGCAGATGAAGAAACACTCGGCATGTATCTTCCTGTACTGAAAACACTAAAATTAGAGCTTCACTCTGGCACAATTACTAAATGCACCTGGCCACAGAAGCCATTGTATAAGCACAGGTCACTGTTCTCCTCTTACGTTCACTCACAATAGGCTGTGTCCTGTCCTCTATATGCTATGAAGGCAGCATCCAAAAATAGCACAGCAGCTAATGGCTATAGCTTACTGTGTTTGTACTGCTGTTTATCTGGCGCTCTCATCAGGCCACAGCCTCATTAGCAGAGACTGGGGGATTCCTACCAGCACCGCTGCTCCCGTACTTGCTGCTCCCTGAGGTGCCTGGGCAAAGAAAGAAAAAAAACTGGGGGAAGGTGGCAAATGGGGAGGTACACAGACAGGAAGTGGGTGTAATTTCCTCAGGAAGCTATCAGAGCCATTTCTTGTATGACCTATCAGATGAAAAGAGAGACAAAGAGAGAGCGAGACAGGGGAGAATGAAAGAAAGGCAGAAAGAACGATAAAAGGTGAAGACATAAAAGTTCAGAAATGTTTCCGTGAGAAATATGCAGACAAAACTGCATCAGACAAAACCTCCTGTGCCGCTCGTGTCTTAAGTTCACGTGGGAAGCAGAAAAGGAAGTGAGCATGCAGCATGAACGAAACCCAGCGATGAACAAATGAGGAACAGAGTGCTCATGAGAAAAGAGTGTGAGGAGGAGACGACGGCCTTAAACTGCAGGGTTATAGACATTTGCATTTTGAATGGGTTGAAGACACGATGGAGACATCACAATACACCACGACACGTAGAAATGAAATAAAAATGGGATCCTCAACAACATGAAAAATGTGGTCATACTTGCATCTCAACAATTATTTTTTTCAAGCCTTTACAGAACTTAAAAATGCCAGGACTTCATATAGTTGTTATACTTTTTCAGACTTCAGGATCTGTACTGCACTAAAATTGTAGGACTTGGACTAGTAAACACAACTGTAGCTGCGAGCACCAGCCTATATGAACCCTATAGACTAAACAGAGAGAAAAAAAGCAGGGGGCCAAGTGAGGAGGGAGGAGGAGGAGGAGGAGGAGGAGGAGGAGGAGGAGGAGAGGGAGCGTGAAGAAGAAATTCAGAAGTGGGGACACACTGCAGCAGGAAATGAAGAACAAGGCAGCAACAGTGGAAAGAACAAGAAAAAAAAAACAGGCAATGGAAACACAAATGTGAGAACCTCTGGAAACTCTAACAAGCAGAGAAGCATCCAGAAGCTGTGTTTGAGCTCAGACCTAAACCTCAACGCTTACAACCTATGCAAAAACACACACACACACACACACACACACACACACACTGAATGCTGTCAACCTTGACCAAATGGCTTCGGCTGCAGATGGCAGAGTTGACAGTGAGCTAGCACCTCGGTGAAAACAGGCCCGGAGGCATCTGTGACTAGAGAGGATATGTGTGTGTGAGTGGTGTGTATATGACTTTATATTTAAATTGTTATATAACAGGAAGGTGTTCAGAGCCTAATAATGTACATGATCAGAATGTGTGTGTGGACGCAGAGTTTGAGTGAAACCTGAGGTGTAAGATGCCTCAGTGTAATAAAGAAAAAGCCATGGACCACGGCCATGTGCAGTCACATGACTTGAAATCAATTTTAAAAAGTAAATAAATAAAAACATTCATGGATATTTTTTGTCACATACACAAAAAAAATGTGTGAATAATGCAGAATAATTTGCATTTGAGGGTGTGCTAAAAGACGTGTGTAATAAACAATAATAATTAGAATAAAGGCAGAAATAGGAATCAAAATATATATATTAAAAAATTGCAAAAATATATAAAAAATGTAAAAATGTGGGCTGAGAAATTTCAAAGCATGTT